CTGGTTTAGACCTGGTTTTTAGTCCTGGTTTAGTCCTGGTTTAGACCTGGTTTAGACCTGGTTTTAGTCCTGGTTTAGACCTGGTTTTAGACCTGGTTTAGTCCTGGTTTTAGTCCTGGTTTAGACCTGGTTTAGTCCTGTTTTTGGTTTAGTCCTGGTTTAGTCCTGGTTTAGTCCTGGTTTTCCTGGTTTAGTCCTGGTTTAGCCTGGTTTTAGACCTGGTTTAGACCTGGTTTAGACCTGGTTTAGTTTAGTCCTGGTTTTAGTCCTGGTTTAGACCTGGTTTAGTCCTGGTTTAGTCCTGGTTTAGTCCTGGTTTAGTCCTGGTTTAGTCCTGGTTTAGTCCTGGTTTAGTCCTGGTTTTACTGGTTTAGTCCTGGTTTAGTCCTGGTTTAGTCCTGGTTTAGTTTACCTGGTTTTAGTCCTGGTTTAGACCTGGTTTTAGTCCTGGTTTAGACCTGGTTTAGACCTGGTTTAGACCTGGTTTAGTCCTGGTTTAGTCCTGGTTTAGTCCTGGTTTAGTCCTGGTTTAGACCTGGTTTAGACCTGGTTTTAGTCCTGGTTTAGACCTGGTTTTAGTCCTGGTTTAGACCTGGTTTAGTCCTGGTTTAGACCTGGTTTTAGTCCTGGTTTAGACCTGGTTTAGACCTGGTTTAGACCTGGTTTAGACCTGGTTTAGTCCTGGTTTAGTCCTGGTTTAGACCTGGTTTAGTCCTGGTTTTAGTCCTGGTTTTAGACCTGGTTTAGTCCTGGTTTAGACCTGGTTTAGTCCTGGTTTAGACCTGGTTTAGTCCTGGTTTAGACCTGGTTTAGTCCTGGTTTAGACCTGGTTTTAGTCCTGGTTTAGACCTGGTTTAGTGTCCCACAATGAGTGGAATTACTGGAAAAAAAAGGGGGGATTTAGCCCGAAATGTGAAAACAGGAAAATCCCTCTGTGTAATCCATTTATTTCAACAAAGTAACTGTAATCCAATTACCACTCATTAAAACAGTAACTGTAACTGAATACAGTTACTCATCATTTGTACTCTGATTACTTAACTTCAGTAAATGTAATCTAATCTGTTACTCCCCAACACTGCGTATCAGCAACTTCTTAATGACATCAGCCCTAGAGGAGAGTGAATCAAACATGGACGACACTCAGACTGAACCCAGAAGTCGGACTAAGAGAAAAACCGGACAGCAGCTGCGTGTGAAGAGGACGTGACTGTACCACACACTTGAGCAGAACTCCGTATTTGCGGTTCCGGAAGTCTCTGTACGCCGTCCACGGCTCCACCTGCAGCCTCCTGGGGAAGTGTCCCTCGGCTTTGAACAGGACGGCGGCGTCTTCGGGGCTGATGATGTTCACGCTCTCGTAGTAACCGATCTTTTCTCTGACACATCAGAACAAAGGTTACCCCACGAACTGCACCACTCATTCACACACGACTCATTCACACACGACTCATTCACACACGACTCATTCACACACGACTAGAGATGTAACAATATCCAAATCTCAGGGTACGATATTTATTGCGATATTTTGAGGTTGATATAATTGTAGATGAGACACTTAAACAGCCTGACAAGATTTTGGTGTGAATTATTTCCGTCATAATCCCAAGAATTCAAGTCAAAAACATATTTCTTCATGTTGTCAGCGCTGAAATGAATCATGGGAAATGTAGTTCCCCATGTTTATTAGCTGTTGTTACTGTAAAACCTGCATTTAAGCAAAGAAACTTGTGATTAAATATATTGTGACAGCCCACAATATTACTGAGACTTTTGACGATGCGATATCACGATATTTCGGTTATTGTTACATCCCTGCACACGTCTCATTCACACACGGTTCATTCACACGCATCTCATTCACACTGTCCACTGTACGTCTCATTCACACTGTGGCCTTGGCACAGAAAGCCTGTAGTTTATAAAATAAACTGTAAATAGACAAAACAGAGCGTCAGCAGTTACACAAAGTCTGAGATAAACTGTGGATCCTCGTGTCTGTGAAGCACATCTACCTGTGGATCCTCGTACCTGTGGATCCTCGTACCTGTGGAGCTTCGTACCTGTGGAGCTTCGTACCTGTAAATGGGTCCAAACGTGTTGAAGTTTTGCACCATGATGCGATGGAGATTTCTGAATCCGTCTTGTTTCCAGAAGTTGTAGAGATTGGCGAGTCCGTTCTTCCAGTGCCCGGGGATCTCAGAGAAGGGCCTGACGATGCTGCCGCTCTCCGTGTACGGCTGTCGGACGGCGGGGACGCTGCTGCTGCTGCTGCGCCGGACGCCCGCGGGTGCCCCCTCCTCCGCCCGGGACGGACGCCTGGGCAGCGGGCAGCGGCAGACTCTCCAGCGGGACATGGTGATCTGACAATGAGCTGAACCGTTCTGAGTCAGGGACACGTGGAGAGGCTCAAGGCGACTCCCCCTGCACCAGACTCAAGGCAAAGACACTGAACGCACTAAAGTTACACAACACACAGACACATGACGCACAAAACCACATGGAACAGAAGACAAGTGTGATAAATGTAACCCAGGTATTTTCTCTGTCCCTCTCTACCTAATAATTTGGCCGCTGTCGTTCGCAACTAACGCGAGACTAATTGCGCCAAGATCTTTAAATATGGTGTTGCGCACGCGCGCGCACGCTCCCGTTCATTCGTGTGTTGTGTCGGTCCCGGGTGTGACTGAGCGGCTGCAGGTAGGAGATTATTGCTTTTAAAAACTCACTGTTTCGCTCAAAGTTTATTAAAGTAACTTATATGCCATCAACTTCTCCAGCTAATGCTAATGCTGCTAATGCTAGCGCTCTGATTCAATACGGACCTGAGCTGGTGCCGGCGCTAGTCTCACTTGTTCGCATCCATTTATATGACTACTTTTCAATGAAATTTATTGACTGACTACAGATATTGACAACAAATAATGATTGATATATGACAAGTTAAATTATTAATTTAAATAATTTAAAGTGACATATTACTTATTATTAATGGGAAATATTTTACAATGGAGTCCTCTAGATATTGATTTATACTGATACATGTACATGGATGGAATACTTATTCAGATTTATCATGACAAATTGTTATAATGTTGAAAAATGATTTAGTGTCTTAGTTGTACTAAAAAAAATTGTATTACTCACTGCTGGTCCTGTTTTACACAGGCCAGGTTCCGAACCTGAACTCTCCAGAACGGAACTCTCCGCAATTGGATTTTCAGACACTGGATGTCGAGCTAAGGCCTAGAGCCCGAATCAAACTAAGTGCAAGTATCTGCCTGTGCGGTAGGAGGCGTAGCAGCCGCTCAACCCACACACACTCACACACCCACTGCCCCCTGCTGTGGGCATTGGGCTCCTCATAAACTTTGCTGGAAATCACCCATTCACCATAACCATCTCCGGAACTATTTTTTTCCTTTCACATGATCTCCGTGTGGAATACATAACATTTTGCTGCTGCTTATTATCAATCGGACTATGGACTATAACTCATTGAAGTCTCCATAGGCTCTGAACTGAATCACATAACTGTGCACTCCTGTAAATATTGTATATATTGTCTGTTATACACTGTAAATAATAATATCACAGATAAGCACTACAACCTTGTGTACGTGTCTTATTAAACACCTCACTTCCCTCCGAGCCGAACCCAATCTTCTGATGTAGCCAGTTACCATTACTACTATTACTGTACCTCCTCCTGTGGCATCGTATAAGTGTGTAGGATGAAAAATGCGATTTAACGTGTTGGTAAGATGTGCGTGTTTGAGCATGTGGTTTACTTTTGACGAATTATTGAAATTATACATTTGCGGGGCACCAGATTCTGACCGAATCAAACTTAACCATATGCGACAACAACAACTTATCAATTTAATCAATCTGAAGGGAACGTACCCGAAAAAGTGACCTGATGATAACTTTAAGAAAAATCACTGAAACCAGCAAATTCCTTTGTGTGGTTTATTAACAAACAATAACTAGACACCAGCTTCCAAGTTCTGGTTACGTAACATTAAAGCACCGATTTTAACAACCTGAGGTAGTTATAAAACGGGGTTCAGTTTAGCTCAGTTATGGCGTTTCGCTAAGTCGCTACGGCGCTTGCCTTGGGAATAATTGGACGCAATCGTAAGAGGGATGCCAACCCTTATTCATTCACTGTCTGAACCAGCCTTACTTGGCGATGCTGTTCTCGGTCCGTGTGGAATGCGGCGATGGCGGGGTTCGGCGGTGGTCGTGCGCACGGGCAGGCAGCGGCGTGATGACGGTACTCGGGCAGGGCGGTCCACGCCTCCTTCACCGGCTCTGGTCCTCAGCCCTCGGCAGGTGCGACTCCAGGTCTGTTACAGCTCCCCCTGGGTCTCTCCGACCGGCCGTCTTCCCTGGTCCTCTTCGGCGGGTCCTCGCGGCGGCGAGGCAAGGCGAACGAGCGAAGAAAGGCGAAGCGCGAAGCGAAAGCAAAGTTTTCGCGCGTGAGGCTTCGTTTTGGTCCGTGCGCTTGGTGGGCGTTGTTATATGCAAATTTAAGGCACGCCCGCGTCTGAGCTGAACTGGTCCCCGTACAAATATCATTTGCAAATATTAAATTGATAACTTCCCACATTCAGGTACTAACTGTTTACGATAACATTAGCCGACGATTCATACAAAGAAATCAAAGGTATATCTGTCTGAAAACACGCCGTGAAGTTACCGTAAATACTTCCGCGGGAACATGACATGAAATACACACCCGAGACTATGAACACATGAATTAAGCAATGTGGCATATTTGTCTTGTATCAACATGAGCCTTATATAGAACACAGTTAAAAACATTTTTAACTAGTTATTGAGATGCGTTTAATCCAGTCCTTCTCTAGTGTCCAAAAGTGGCAACCACAGTCCATGGCGGTTTTAACCGGTCCAAACCTTGGCGCCTGATGGTCTGGTATGTAGATGATGTGGGTCTGTTTCTTCAAAGCACAATGAAGAAAGTCATTATTTAACAGTCCTTATCACTTTAGCAGAGCCATGTTAATTTCCCATTCTGATTCATGTCCCACCTGGCGTGGGGGAAGGGAGGTGTGGAAGCACCGAAGATCGGTTCTCTTGGGGTTGTAAATACCAAGAGGCAGTCAGGCGGAACCAACTTCTTTAGGTTCCTGGTTTGTGGATTCTGTCAGAATGGGGGAAGCAGGCCCTGAACAGGCATCTTTCCCTACAAGTGCTACATGAGATGTGGCGAGCTACTAGCCAGGAGGGATTTGGAAGTGTTTAATTTACATTGTACTTTACAGTGTTCATTTTGTTTATAATATTACAATATAGAAATGGATGTGTTTCAGAATTTGGGGATTAAAATACCAAACTGTGTTATAGTTGAAGGCATATCAGATACTGAAACAGTAGGCGTTGAAGAAGTCGCTGATTTTTTTAAACGTTACGGAAAAATAGACCGAATTGAAATAATATCTGATCCTGATACGGAGTTTGATGGGTCACTTATTATTGAATTTTCTAGTGGTGCGCCTATTGCCGAATTGCGTCCTATCCTTCCGTATACAATGAACTCTACCGATAAAAAAGAAACCTACTTTATATCTGAACTGTCTACTGTTTATGCAGAACATAAAGCAAAGAATAAAACCATAACCTATTTAGCAGAACTACAAAATGTTGCTAAACTATCTGGTCTGGACTTCACAGAAGTATTGAAGTCCACGATGGCTCAGATTGGACGGTCCGTCGCCAAGCTCCACCCTGCTGCTCCACCTGCAGAAGCTGAGGCCACAGCACCGCCCCCAGAGCCACTGGTGAGACCACAGACCATACCACCATCAAGTGCCTTCAGCTCAACACCAGACCCTGCAGTTCCCGGAGCAGAATGTAAGCCACGCACCACACCACCACAGCATAAAGGGGGAGAGCACATCACCAACCTAGATGTTAACCCCACTGGAATTCAGCGCTATGTGGTGGAGCACATAGTGAAGAGCGAGGAGAGCGCTTCCCATCGACGGCTCAGAGTGTTTTCGGGCGCCTGCCTAGACCTGCACAGGAGGCAGATTATGAGACCTGGCGATCAGGAGTGGATCTACTACTGAGGGACCCGTCAGTCTCTGACCTCCAACGTTCCCGGAGGATTGTGGACAGCCTCCTGCCACCAGCAGCAGACGTGGTAAAACACCTGAGCGCAGACACGTTGCCAACTGTATATATGGACATTTTACACTCAGCATATGGCACTGTCCAAGATGGAGATGAACTTTTTGCCAAATTCATGGACACTTTTCAGAACAGTGGGGAAAAACCATCATCCTACCTTCAGCGACTCCAAGTGGCACTGACTGCAGCTGTGAAGAGGGGTGGAGTTTTGAGCACTGACGCCAACAGGCATCTCATTAATCAGTTCTGCCGTGGGTGCTGGGACAATTCCCTCATTGCTGAACTACAACTAAAGCAGAGGAAGATAAAACCACCAACCTTTCCTGAGCTACTGCTGCTTCTGCGGACTGAGGAGGACCGGGAGGCAGCCAAGACAGCTAGGATGAAGCAACATCTTGGGTCCAAGCAGAAAGCCACCACCTACGTGCAGTTTGCCCAAGCTGACAACAATGATGGAGAGGGAGGAGCAGTCGCAGCCTTAACTAGCATCACCCAGCAGCTAGCAGAGCAACTGGCAGACGTGCAGCGACAACTAGCCATGCTAACGGCTAACAACAACCAGCCTCCAACCACCTCTCGCCCCAAGACCCACTACAGCAAGCAGCCAGCACCCAGATCAACCACAGCCAAGTCGCCACAACAGTCCACACCTACCCTACGCAAACCTGGGTACTGCTTCATGTGTGGTGAAGACGGTCACATCCGCCCACAGTGCCAAAATGAACCCAACTCTGCTCTTGTTGCCCGCAAAAAGAGACTGTATACACAAAGACAACAAGCCACATCAAGTCAAAATCAGTTAAACTAGACGAGGTTCCTGTTACGGGACGAACAGGAACCGGGCTGGGCCAAAAATGTCCCAAGACCAAAGACAAGAAGACTGTAAGGTGTGCAGAAGTGACGCTAATTGAAACAAAGGCCACAACATCCACAAGATTACCAAAGGGACTCATTGGATCCAAGTGTGCTGCTGTGGTTGAGATCGCGGGACACCTCTGCAATTGCCTCCTCGACACTGGTTCACAGGTGACAACTCTCCCAGTGTCCTTCTACAATAAAAACTTGAGTGACCAGCCTGTGAAGCCACTGCATGACTTACTCCAAATAGAGGGTGCAGCTGGCCAGAGCGTACCATATCTTGGCTATGTGGAACTGACCATCACTTTCCCCGAGGACTTCCTGGGAGCAGAGTTCGAGGTGTCAACGCTCGCCCTGGTTGTCCCGGATGCCCATCCTGAGTGCCCATCTCCAGTGCTCATTGGAATGAACACCCTCGAGCCCCTGTATGACCAATACCACTGCAGTGACTATTCCAACTTTCATCCCAGTGCCCAGGGGTATCGAGCAGTCCTTAAGCTCCTACAGCTAAGGCACCAGCAGAGCCAAGTGGGCAGTGCAGGATCAGTGCACCTCATAGGCCAAACTCCAGTCCTCATTCCAGCTGGCCGGACCATTGTTCTTGAAGGTTCTGCCAGACTCAATGCCCCTCCTGCGGACCAGTGGGCCATCATTGAGCACCCAGCCTCAACGCTACCTGGAGGCCTTTGTGTCCAAAGCTGTCTGATCACTCTACCGAAACACTCACCGCATAAAGTCCCTGTCATCATGAAAAACGAGTCAGAGCAAGATGTGTTCATTCCACCATTAACCATCATTGCAGACATCGGAACATCGCCCATCATTCTGTCCCAACAAGTCTCCATCCCAGATCCAAACAAGACCGCACTCCAGTTTAACTTTGAAAACTCACCCATTCCACCTGAGTGGAAAGAGCGCATAACGGCCAAACTGAACACCATGCCGGAAGTCTTTTCCCACCATGAGCTGGATTTCGGTTGCACGAACAGAGTCAAACACACCATCAAGCTCCATGACCAAACTCCTTTCAAACACCGAGCCAGACCAATCCATCCCCGAGATCTGGAGGCCGTCCGGAAACACCTGCGGGATCTGTTTGAGGCCGGAGTAATAAGGGAGTCAGAGTCACCATTTTCCTCCCCAATAGTGGTGGTGAGAAAGCGGAATGGCGAAGTGAGGCTATGCATCGACTACCGGAAATTAAATCTACAGACTGTTAAAGATGCATATGCTCTTCCAAACCTCGAAGAGTCCTTCTCTGCGCTCACAGGTTCAAAGTGGTTCTCTGTTCTAGACCTAAAATCAGGTTATTACCAGATTGAAATGGCTGAAGAGGACAAAGCTAAAACCGCTAAAACCTATTCCACTCCCAGAATCCAAGAGGCGTGACGCCTCTTGGATTCTGGGAGTGGAATAGGATGCCGCAGGGAGTCACGAATGCCCCAAGCACATTTCAGCGGTTGATGGAGCGATGCATGGCAGATCTAAACCTTAAAGAAGTGCTCGTTTTCCTGGATGACATCATTGTCTTTTCTCCTAGTCTGGAAGAACATGAGACCCGGTTGCTGCGTGTACTGACCCGCCTAAAAGAATATGGACTAAAGCTTTCACCAGACAAATGCAAGTTCTTCCAGTCCTCTGTCCGTTATCTGGGACATGTAGTGTCCGAAGAAGGAGTTGCCACCGACCCAGAAAAGACAGAAGCTCTCAAATCCTGGCCAGTCCCCCGCAACTTGAAGGAGTTGCGATCTTTTCTCGGTTTCGCCAGATACTACAGGAGGTTTATTAAGAACTATGCCACAATTGTCAAACCATTGAATGAGCTGACCCGTGGGTACGCACCCGTTCGCTGCTCCACCAAGGTGAAGAACCCTGGAGGGAAGTATTTGGACCCCAAACAGTCCTTTGGAGAAAAATGGACCAGTCAGCAGCAGACCGCATTTGAATCCATAATTTCAAAACTGACATCCGCCCCTGTTCTTGGTTTTGCTGACCCAAAACTCCCATATATTCTGCACACCGATGCAAGCACCACCGGATTGGGCGCCGTCCTATACCAGGAACAAGAGGGCAAGCTGCGTGTCATCGCCTATGCCAGTCGAGGCTTGTCGCTGAGTGAGACTAGGTACCCGGCTCATAAACTTGAGTTTTTAGCCCTGAAGTGGAGCGTTGTCGAAAAATTCCATGACTACCTGTATGGATCCACTTTCACAGTCATCACTGACAATAACCCTCTCACCTATGTACTCACCTCAGCAAAACTGGACGCCACAAGTCATCGCTGGTTGGCAGCACTCTCTACATACTCATTCAAACTGCAATACCGGGCTGGGAAAGAAAATCAAGACGCCGATGCTCTGTCAAGACGCTCTCAAGTAGATTCTTCTGATGACCACTCCTGCGAGGAGTGGGACCTTGTGCATCGCCTGACCCAGCCGTTGTGTGAATCGAGAGAGGTAGAGGAGATCTCGCCGGAAATTGTGGACGCTATCTGCCAGAGCTGTCTAGTGAGAACACTCCAAGCTGATCCTAGTCAGGCTACTGTGACCCTGATCGAGTCTTTGTCTGCTACTGTCAATACCATTCCAGACACTTTCACTAAAGAAGAGTTCCACGGCCTGCCAGTTATTCCATCTCTGTCTCACACTGATCTCAAGGAATATCAGAGAGCCGACCCGGCCATCCGTGAGGTCATCCACCAAATTGAGACCGGTGAGAAGGTTCCTTCCACAGCCCGAGATGAATTGCCAGAACTTCCCCTGCTGCTACGACAATGGGATAAGCTGGAGCTGGAGGATGGAATCCTTTACCGAAGGAGACAGGAGGAGGACAAGCTTGTTCTGCAGCTGGTCCTGCCGCCAGACCTGCGTCCCACTGTATTAAAGAGCCTGCACCACGACATGGGGCACATGGGCATTGAAAGGACGCTTGATCTGGTCCGCCAACGCTTCTTTTGGCCCAAAATGGCAGCAGATGTGGAGCAGACTATCAAAACTTGTGACAGATGTGTGAGGCGCAAGACACAAGTGGAGAAGGCCGCTCCACTAGTAAACATCAGAACCAGTCACCCGCTAGAGCTCATATGCATGGACTTTCTAACACTCGAACCAGACAATAGAAACACCAAAGACATTTTAGTTCTCACAGATCACTTCACAAAATTTGCAGTTGCCATTCCCACCGCCAACCAGAAGGCCCAAACGGTAGCTAAATGCCTCTGGAACGACTTCATGGTGCACTACGGAATTCCAGAGCGCATTCACTCAGACCAAGGCCCAGATTTTGAGTCAAAGCTAATTAAAGAGCTGTGCGAGGTCACTGGCATCAGGAAGAGCAGAACTACTCCCTATCATCCACGGGGAAATCCAGTTGAGACCTTGCTCAGTTATGCTTGGGACTCTGGAAATGAAGCAGAAGTCGGAGTGGCGACAACATGTCAAGCCCTTGGTCCATGCATACAACTGCACCAAGAACGAGGTCACAGGGTTCACACCATATGAACTTTTATTCGGCCGCTGTCCACGTCTCCCTGTTGACCTTGCTTTTGGTTTACCAGTCCGAGAAACACCATTCATTCGTGTGTTGTGTCGGTCCCGGGTGTGACTGAGCGGCTGCAGGTAGGAGATTATTGCTTTTAAAAACTCACTGTTTCGCTCAAAGTATATTAAAGTAACTTATATGCCATCAACTTCCCCAGATGCCTCTTACCTTCTCGACGAAGTGCTGTCGTGATCGTTTGAGCGTAAACTAAGTGGAACTGGTGAGTTGCGTTGTTTGTTGCCGTGCGGAGCTAATGCTAAGCTAATGCTAATGCTAGCGCTCTGATTCAGTACGGACCTGAGCTGGAGCCGGCGCTAGTCTCACTTGTTCGCATCCATTTATATGACTACTTTTCAATGAAATTTATTGACTGACGGTACTGATATTGACAACAAATAATGATTGATATATGACCCTGTTAAATTATTAATTTAAATAATTTAAAGTGACATATTACTTATTATTAATGGGAAATATTTTACAATGGAGTCCTCTAGATATTGATTTATACTGATACATGTACATGGATGGAATACTTATTCAGATTTATCATGACAAATTGTTATAATGTTGAAAAATGATTTAGTGTCTTAGTTGTACTAAAAAAAATTGTATTACTCACTGCTGGTCCTGTTTTACACAGGCCAGGTTCCGAACCTGAACTCTCTGAAACTGAACTCTCTGAAAACTGAACAGAACTCTCCAGAACGGAACTCTCCGCAATTGGATTTTCAGACACTGGATGGCGAGCTAAGGCCTAGAGCCCGAATCAAACTAAGTGCAAGCATCTGCCTGTGCGGTAGGAGGCGTAGCAGCCGCTCAACCCACACACACTCACACACCCACTGCCCCCTGCTGTGGGCATTGGGCTCCTCATAAACTTTGCTGGAAATCACCCATTCACCATAACCATCTCCGGAACTATTTTTTTCCTTTCACATGATCTCCGTGTGGAATACATAACATTTTGCTGCTGCTTATTATCAATCGGACTATGGACTATAACTCATTGAACTCTCCATAGCCTCTGAACTGAATCACATAACTGTGCACTCCTGTAAATATTGTATATATTGTCTGTTATACACTGTAAATAATAATATCACAGATAAGCACTACAACCTTGTGTACGTGTCTTATTAAACACCTCACTTCCCTCCGAGCCGAACCCAATCTTCTGATCTAGCCAGTTACCATTACTACTATTACTGTACCTCCTCCTGTGGCATCGTATAAGTGCTACATAAAGATTTATTGACATATAAATAAATATTCAGTCTTTTCAAAACATAATCTGCAAAATCACATTACAAGTCTTTAATAAAAATCACACATTCACAAATCAAAAACAGAATAAATACATTATTATATGAATTATTTCCTAAGCAGCTGAATGACTTCCTCTAATTTCATGGCAGTTCTGAGGTCTCCCTGTATCTGTAGTCTGCCGCTGCTGTAGGCGGCGTACGGACGGAGAGATCCTTCAAACAGAGAGAGAAGGTCAGACTCGGTGAGGCTCAGAGTGACGTCAGGGTCTGGACACGACCCTGCGCCCACAGTGCCGCAGCCTGGAACACAAACACAACTCCACAGTGACAAATGCTTTTATCTAATGCAAAACACTGAGGCACAGATCTGACCTTGTCTTAAATCCACATAGTAACAGTTCTGACGCTGGTCTGAGGAGCTGATGTAAAACTGGAAACACGCCTGAACCCGGTTCACCAGGTTCTCCGAGAGCAGCAGCCGGACGGCACTGAGCAGCTCGTCCACACGGGGACCGGAGAGGTCAGGGGTCAACTCATCAGGCACTGTCACTGCCACAGAGTCCTCTGAAAAACAAAGACCCGGGTTTAACTCACACAGGAGCTCGTCTTCATAAAGACATGAACGTGAATGTGATCGTGAACGTGTTCGTACGTGTTTTTGGCTGAGAAACACTCTGACTGAAAAAGTGCATGGCCAGCTGCTGGATGGGGACGGGGAGACCTTCCATTCCGGGGACGGACGGAGGGACGACGAGGGGCCCCTGCGGAGCCTCGTCTGAAGACTGGACCGGAGAACCGATCACCAGCTCCACCCGGTCCACCTCCAGCCCCCACGGCCTCGTCATCTCGTTAATGTCCATCTGAACACGGTTAAAAGAACGAGTTTAATTTAAAAGCCCGATTATAGAACCCTGTGAGCTTCAACACATGTTCTGATGTTCTAATGTTCTCATGTTCTCATGTTCCTCGTCAAAAACAGAGCTGGAGTCGTGTTTGTTTCATTCACATGTTTGTGTAACTCTGCATTCTGAGTCTGTTTCATCTCCAAACCTCCAAACACTCTGCTCCACCTTGTGATGTCATGAAGTGGTAGTTTCCAAGTTCTCGGCTCCTTTTCCCTTCAGTTCAGTCGAGATCAGCAACTCTAGAACTGAAATGATCCAGGTGATTCTAGTGAAGGTGTGTGGAGTTTAAAAACATAGTGGAGCACTTCCTGTATCACCACATGATGACATCACAAGGTGGAACAGAGTGTTTTCAGTTTGAGAGAAGAACTCGTGTTAAATGTGCAGGTTTGTGTGTTAAACATGTGAATGAAACAAAACACAACTCCACATGAGATTCTGAAGAAACAATAATGCAGTGTGTATCGTGTAATAGTGTAATAGTGTAATAGTGTAATAGTGTAATATGACCCCAGTGAAATAATCTTATATGGTTCTAATGTATCAAGTAATAGTGTAATAATGTATAGTGAAATTGTGTAATTATGGTTCTAGTGTAATAGTGTAAAAGTGTGTAATAGTGTAAAAGTGTGTAATAGTGTAATAGTGTGTAGTGTAATATACTCATAGTGTAATAAGGTACAAATGTGTAATAGTGTAATAAAAGTGTAATATGCCCCTGGTGTAATAGTGTAATAATAGTGTAATAGTGTAATAATGTAGTAGTAGTAGTAGTACAGTAGCAGTAGTAGCTAGTAGTAGTAATAGTAGGAGTACAGTAGTAGTAGCAGTAGTACAACAGTAGAAGTAGTAGTAGTAGTAGTAGCAGTAGTAGCAGTAGTAGTATAGTAGTAGTACAGTAGTAGTAGTACATAGTGTAATAGTGTAATGATAGTGTAATAGTGTAATAATAATGTGATAGTGTAATAATAATGTAATAGTGTAATGATAGTGTAATAGTGTAATCTGGCCCATTGAAGGTGGACACACACACACACACACACACACACACACAGACTCTTTGCGCTCACCCCCAGATACTCCCCGAGCTTGAGCCGTTCACTCTGGATTTCTCGGAGCGTTTTCTTGGACAGACTGTGGGTCAGAGCTTTATGGGCCGTCATCCGGGTCGACGCGTTCAGATCCTGAACCGACACCACGGACAGAACCGGGTTCCAGATCCGGAACTGAATATCTGCTCCCACCAGCAGCATGCCGCCGTCCAGTGTCCTCACCTGGAATCACACACCAGCGTCAACATTGGACTTTGAGCCTCAACACGACGCTAACTGTAGGCACTGCTCTGTCTGAAGCTCCGTTACACTTTAATCTGAGCTTTATTTCCTACGACCTCTTGTATAAAGCTTAGATTTTATGTTATTACTTATTTTTCTATTAATATTTTGACTTGTACATTTACATTTACATAATTATGTTTTCTTTGACTCCTGTTTCTTGCTCTTTTTTGCTACTTATTTTTAGAATGTATTATTACCATTTACATTTTTTACACTTTATTATTATATTATATTGTAATGTGTGACTCCTGTGTCCAAATTATTTCCCTGTGGATCAATAAAATTTGTCTAAGGCTAAATCTGAATCTGTTTTAACTGACTATCTATTTCATCTCTGACTCTGACTCTATTTTAATTAAACTGACTCAGCTGAACTGAAACAGGTGAACAGTTTTTCAGTTTCTTTGAGTCACTTTCACCTTTTAATGTAAAACCAAACTCCTAAACGGGACCATGAACGCACTGACCACAGGAAAATCAAAACGTGCTCTTTAAATCACTTTTGTATTTTTCTTTGAGTTTTCAGATGGTCTTAAAAGCTTCTCGGCTGTGTTCGCTGATGTGTATCTTATGGAAACTTTCTGGACATTCAGCAGAGCCGAGCATTTCAGAACGACACAAACGGAACCAACACAAACAGATTCAAACTGGCGGCAGAGCGAAGGCAGGTGGCACCTGACAGGGAGGGGTGTTGAAGGCTCTGGTGCGGAGGTCGACTCGCTGCCACTGGTCGATCAGAGGAAGAACGAGGATGACGCCGGGTCCTTTGGGACGACAAATACGACCCAGACGAAAAACCACCATCTTTTCATAGTTGGGCACAGTCTGGGACAAAAACACTTTTTATTTCACATTTATTCACATTTAACAAACTGATACGTGTCAGATTTTACCTTCAGGACAAACCACCCGGATATCGGAAAAGTTATAAAGGTGACGACGTAAACCAAGAATATGACGACGAGGTGACAGAGCCACGAGAGGCAGCCCTGAGACGCATCTGCCCCGGGGGAAAAGACATCACAAAAAGAAGAAGAAAATTACACCATTAAAGGAACTTCTCTGGTAAAGGATTGAGATGCTCCTGATTTACCTGGAATGTTCCACAGTTTGACATTAAACAGATTTATCTCCATAGAGAGAAGAAAGTGACACAAGGTCAGATCTGCTCACTGTATGAACACGTTTTTATGTTTTTAATGTTTTTCTTTAGTGATTCAAACTCCCGTAATGATGCAAGTTTAATGCCACAGTGGAACATTTCAGGTAAAGCACATGAACCTTCACTGCAAATGTTTCACAGTGCAGCTTTAAATGTTGAATCTACTGTAATAAAACTGTAGCTGTGACTGTACAGTGTTGTATCAGATGCCCTTCCGTCACATTTAACACAGACAGAGGAAAATTAACACTGTTAAAATCAACTGTTTGTTGTTCAGTTGTGAGTTCTTGGCTCTGGTCACTCACAAAAATAATCAGGTTCAACATGTGAATTTACATAATGGAGATTTGATGGTAAAGAACAAAATGTGATCAGTAAAAGTGTCTCTGTGCCACCTGAGAGTTTGACATCACCACAGTCTAGAACCTGGGGGGGAATTAATTTTTCCCTGGGGCCACATGAGAAACAGAAAATATTGTGGAGGCCAAAATACTGAACTCAATTCTGCAGAATATGAATTGTATTTCTTTATAAACACTTTATTAAAAATATCTGATTGTTGCGACGAGCTGCTCAGAGTGAAGAGTTTATGTACTGATTAAACAATGAAATATTGAGTCTGTCCAACAAAAAAAGTCATTTAAAAAACACGTCTAAAACAAAAGCAATGCAGATAGAGTCCATGTATGAGGTAAAATTATAAAATATGTTTATTTTGAAATTCCAAATGAGCTTAAACGGGCCGATCAGAGACAAGCAAAGGACTGAATGTGGCTCTGGAGCTGGACAAGGCCCAGGTCTAGAACCAGAAAACCACCATTGACTTCAAACTAAACATAAGAATAAAACTCTACACATAAATAATAAAACACGTCACACAGGGTGACCAGATTTTCAAAATAAAACACTGGTGCGTCCCTGGTTTGTGGAGGTTGGTGATAATAAAATAGAAAAACTGTTGTGCACTCGACTCTAATGTGAGTCACTTTAGTCACATTTTCTTTGTGTTTTGTCGTTTTTAATCAGATTTTCTGTATTTTAACCAGACAAATGTCAGTTTATGTTTCTCTTTACTGTTGCAGGATCAGATTGGTCCAAAATAGAGACACTGGGACATTCCTGTATAAAACTGGGACAAATCAGTGGTTTTGTATAAATCTGTTCATCACGTAATAATAATAATAATAATAATATTTACCGGTGAAATCGTCCTCAGAGACTTTGGGGACGTGGTCTGTGGACAGTCCTCTGTGCGGGTCGGACACGAACAGCCCCGGGGCCCCTCTCTGCTGCAGCGGCTGGTACCCCCGGACCCCCGGACCCCCAGGACCCCCCGGACCCCCCGGGCCCCCAGGAGCCTCCGGACCGGAACATCCCCGTGATTAGCCTGTTAGCCTGGAGCTAAAGTTTCCCAGCTCACTGTTTAGTTTGACCGTTTCCTCTTCCACACATTTATTTTAACATCTTTATTTTTGCGAAATGATGCGGTTAAATAAAGTACAAACTATAAAACGCAGCGAGAACAGAACGAGAAACTTTATTACAGATCCTTTAGCTTTAGCTTTAGCCGAACCATTTCCGACGCTTCCGTGTTTTGGTTCCGCGTCTTCTTCTTCTTCTTCTTCTGGACCTTCCTCTGGGACGTGCTCATCACCCCCTCTGCTGGTGGCTGTAATATTTCCCCCACAAACACCTGGGGTCGTTTTTTATTTATTTATTTATTTATTTATTTTATATTTTTAGACATATTTATATAGTTATTTTTTTAGACAAGACAAAACAACCAATGTATATACAGTATAAGGTGCAGATTGGATTGTTGTTGCATCAATGCAAAGTCCAGTTCACAGTTATGGCAGGAGTGAGATATGGAAAACATACATATACATTCATACACATAAACACACATAAACACACATAAACACACATAAACTCACATAAACACACATAAACACACATAAACTCACATAAACTCACATAAACACACATAAACACACATAAACTCACATAAACACACATAAACACACATAAACACACACATAAACATCACATAAACACATAAACACACATAAACACACATAAACTCACATAAACACACACATAAACACACATAAACACACATAAAACACATAAACACACATAAACTCACATAAACACACATAAACACACATAAACACACATAAACTCACATAAACACACATAAACACACATAAACACACATAAACATACTGCAACATGGGGGTGGTTTGCAAATGAACACACATTGGAGCAGAAGGAATGAAACCAAAACTAAACAACAGAATAACAAAACAAAACAGAATATCATAAATTAAACAAAGCTATACTATATTTTTTTATAGATATTGTAACTTTTAATTGCTTTTTTGTTTTGGACCTGGAGTCGTGCTTTGGAAACGCTCTGTTCCACCTTGTGATGTCATCGTGTGGTGATACAGGAAGTGCTCCACTGTGTTTTTAAACTCCACACACCTTCACTAGAATCATCTGGATCATTTCAGACCTAGAGTTGCCAATTTCTACTGAACTTAAGTGAAAAACAGCTGTTCACCTGGAAACTACCACCTCATGACATCATAAGGTGAAACAGAGTGGTTGGAGTTTTGGGGACAAAGTGAATGAAATTAAAATGAAATTATAACCTCACAAGTCAGGTTAAAACATTAGAACATGGCTTGAAGCTCGTAAGAATCCAGTGTAATGTTAAAAATGCAGCAGGTTTTCAGACCAACAGAAAAGGACAAACATGTTTTCGGTTCTTTTAACAGCTCCGTGGTTCCGTGACGATGCAGCGGTTACACTTTTACAGGAGACGTTATGTTGCTCTGATTTCCTCTTCAGATTAGACTCGGAGCTGAGGTCACGGCCGGCGCAGGTTTGTCCCTGACAAAGGAGGACAAACTCTGACAGGACAGAACTCTGAACCACAAATAAACAAATAAAACCACCTCAAGGAAAATGAGCCAACGTTTAAACTTTGAAAAGCCCCAAAAATACAAAAAGATGACTCCTTTAAGATATGTTCTAATGTTCTAATGTTCTAATGTTCCTCATCACTCAGAGCTGGAGTTGTGTTTGTTTGAGTAAATCTTTATTCTGAGTCTGTTACATCTCCAAACCTCCAAACGCTCTGTTCCAGCTTGTGATGTCATGAAGTGGTAGTTTTCAAGTTCTCAGCTCCTTTTTTTCCCCTTTAGTTCAGTCGAGATCAGCGACTCCAGGACTGAAATGATCTAGATGATTCTAGTGAAGGTGTGTGGAGTTTAAAAACACAGTGGAGCACTTCCTGTATCGCCACATGATGACATCACAAGGTGGAGTCTAAATGTGCAGGTTTTTGTGTTAAACATGTGACTGAAACAAAACAACTCCAGGTCTGGACATTTCAGCAACTGTAATAAATGATCACTGTAGTAAAAGTTTTTTTTTTTTACCATATTGGGTAACACTTTATAAAAACTACACCCTATTTAGCCTTAATAAAGCATGAACAAAGACTTAATTAATAATGATTCACGCTTAGTAACTACTTAATTACTGCCTGAATTAGCACTTAACTTGCACTTAATTCATCTGTGCTGTAAATAGTTACTCATAAGTATTTCTCACTTAATTACTCATGAACTAACCATTTGTGTGTGCATTTGTAAATGTATATTTAAGTACAAATTTGAGCATTTATTAATGATTAGTAAACCATGAGAGAATGATTTACTAATAATGCATTATTGTTTCTCTGGAATTTGACCAACCTTAACAAATAATTAATAAACATAATTAGTCTTCACTTTAGAAAAGCTCTCAGAAAGACTTAACTAACAGATAACAGCTGCCTGAATGATCATTGCATTGCATTATTAGTAAATCATTCTCTCATAGCTTATTAATCATTAATAAATGCTCAAATCTGTACTTAAATATACATTTGTAAACATGCAAATGGTTAGTTAATGAGTAATTAAGAAGTATTGAGTAACTATTTACAGCACAGGCAAATTAAGTGCAAGTTAAGTGCTAATTAAGGCAGTAATTAAGTAGTTACTAAGCGCGAATCATTATTAATTAAGTCTTTGTTCATGCTTTATTAAGGCTAAATAAGGTGTAGTTATTATAAAGTGTTACCAAATATTGTATATTGGAAAAACGTCCTTTGTCTGTCTGTTAATTTAAAATAAAACAATTCATTTAAAAATTATAAACTTTTATTTCAAATGGAACAGAATAGTGCAAATGAACAGCAAGTTTTTAAAAAAATGCACAGCAAACTCAGACGACCAGTGTCCAAAAGCGTTTTGTATTTTTCAGTTACGTTTCAGCAAAAAAGCCTTCATCAGATCATTTTTCTATATTTGGACCTTGCACTGGTGTCTCCATGGCAACAGCTGAACATTCCAGTATCGAGCTTCATTCAGACGGAGCGTTTGTCACACGGGACGTTCCTCTGAAATCAAAGGCTCCAAAACTGTCCAGAAGATCCAGAGCTTCTCCACAAACGTCATGACAGATCAACCACAGACGTCTGAAGAAGACGACCAAAGGAGATCCACAGACGTCTGAAGAAGACGACCAAAGGAGAACCACAGACGTCTGAAGAAGACGACCAAAGGAGATCCACAGACGTCTGAAGAAGACGACCAAAGGAGATCCACAGACGTCTGAAGAAGACGACCAAAGGAGATCCACAGACGTCTGAAGAAGACGACCAAAGGAGAACCACAGACGTCTGAAGAAGAGGACCAAAGGAGAACCACAGACGTCTGAAGAGACGACCAAAGAGACCAAGACGTCTGAAGAGAGGACCAAAGAGAACACAGACGTCTGAAGAAGACGACCAAAGGAGAACCAAGACGTCTGAAGAAGACGACCAAAGGAGATCCACAGACGTCTGAAGAAGAGGACCAAAGGAGATCCACAGACGTCTGAAGAAGACGACCAAAGGAGATCCACAGACGTCTGAAGAAGAGGACCAAAGGAGATCCACAGACGTCTGAAGAAGACGACCAAAGGAGATCCACAGACGTCTGAAGAAGACGACCAAAGGAGATCCACAGACGTCTGAAGAAGACGACCAAAGGAGATCCACAGACGTCTGAAGAAGAGGACCAAAGGAGATCCACAGACGTCTGAAGAAGACGACCAAAGGAGATCCACAGACGTCTGAAGAAGAGGACCAAAGGAGAACCACAGACGTCTGAAGAAGACGACCAAAGGAGAACCACAGACGTCTGAAGAAGACGACCAAAGGAGATCCACAGACGTCTGAAGAAGAGGACCAAAGGAGATCCACAGACGTCTGAAGAAGACGACCAAAGGAGATCCACAGACGTCTGAAGAAGACGACCAAAGGAGATCCACAGACGTCTGAAGAAGACGACCAAAGGAGATCCACAGACGTCTGAAGAACCCTAACCCTAAAAATCCAGGATCACATCTTTAGTTTAGAGTCAGTCACATTGAAGTTCTTGGTGCAAAAAAGATTCTGTAGAAAATGGAAAAGATTCTGATTGAACGAAGTGATGATTCACAGATGGTCCTCAGGTCAGATGATCAGATGGTCAGATGGTCAGATGCTCTTCAAGTCAGATGGTCTTCAGGTCAGATGGTCTTCAGGTCAGATGGTCTTCAGGTCAGAGTCTTCAGGTCAGATGCTCTTCAGGTCAGATGATCAGATGCTCTTCAGGTCAGATGGTCTTCAGGTCAGATGCTCTTCAGGTCAGATGCTCTTCAGGTCAGATGCTCTTCAGGTCAGATGCTCTTCAGGTCAGATGCTCTTCAGGTCAGATGCCCTGGTACTCGTGTTGGCAGTGGCCCACAGACAGAGGTTCTGCCCGGATGCCGCGCCTGCAGCACAAACAGTGGAGATCAGAACAAAGTCTGGACCTTTTAAGCTCTAGATGTGAGACACTGACCTGAGCAACCTGCAGCGGAACTCCTGGAGCCGAGGGAAGGCCTCCTTCACACTGGACGTCTGCTTCTCATCGCTCCACAGCCTCTCTGCAGCAGCACTGGCCCTGGGCCTGAAGAACATCATCTGTTAGCGGACTACAGAGGTCTGAGGAACATCTGTGTGTGTGTGAGGAACATCTGTGTGTGTGAGGAACATCTGTGTGTGTGTGTGTGTGTGGGAGGAACATCTGTGTGTGAGGAACATCTGTGTGTGTGTGTGTGTGTGTGTGGGAGGAACATCTGTGTGTGTGTGAGGAACATCTGTGTGTGTGAGGAACATCTTGTGTGTGTGTGTGTGTGTGTGTGTGTGTGTGTGTGTGTGTGTGTGTGTGTGTGTGAGGAACATCTGTGTGTGAGGAACATCTGTGTGTGTGTGTGTGTGTGAGGAACATCTGTGTGTGTGAGGAAACATCTGTGTGTGTGTGTGTGTGTGTGTGTGTGTGTGTGTGTGTGTGTGAGGAACATCTGTGTGTGAGGAACATCTGTGTGTGTGTGAGGAACATCTGTGTGTGTGTCTGTGTGTGTGTGTGTGTCTGTGTGTGTGTGTCTGTGTGTGTGTGTGTGTGTGTCTGTGTGTGTGTGTGTGTGTGTCTGTGTGTGTGTGTGTGTGTGTGTGTGTCTGTGTGTGTGTGTGTGTGTGTCTGTGTGTGTGTGTGTGTGTGTGTGTGTGTGTGTGTGTGTGTGTGTGTGTGTGTGTCTGTGTGTGTGTGTGTGTGTGTGTGTGTGTCTGTGTGTGTGTGTGTGTGTGTGTGTCTGTGTGTGTGTGTGTGTGTGTCTGTGTGTGTGTGTGTGTGTGTGTGTGTGTGTGTGTGTGTGTGTCTGTGTGTGTGTGTGTGTGTGTGTGTGTGTCTGTGTGTGTGTGTGTCTGTGTGTGTGTGTCTGTGTGTGTGTGTGTGTGTGTGTGTGTGTCTGTGTGTGTGTGTGTGTGTGTCTGTGTGTGTGTGTGTGTGTGTGTGTGTGTGTGTGTCTGTGTGTGTGTGTGTGTGTCTGTGTGTGTGTGTGTGTGTGTGTGTGTGTGTGTCTGTGTGTGTGTGTCTGTGTGTGTGTGTGTGTGTGTGTGTCTGTGTGTGTGTGTGTGTGTGTGTGTCTGTGTGTGTGTGTCTGTGTGTGTGTGTGTGTGTCTGTGTGTGTGTGTGTGTGTGTGTGTGTGTGTGTCTGTGTGTGTGTGTGTCTGTGTGTGTGTGTGTGTGTGTGTGTGTGTGTGTGTGTGTGTGTGTGTCTGTGTGTGTCTGTGTGTGTGTGTCTGTGTGTGTGTGTGTCTGTGTGTGTGTGTGTGTCTGTGTGTGTGTGTGTGTGTGTGTCTGTGTGTGTGTGTGTCTGTGTGTGTGTGTGTGTGTGTGTGTGTGTGTGTGTCTGTCTGTGTGTGTGTGTGTGTCTGTGTGTGTGTGTGTGTCTGTGTGTGTGTGTGTGTCTGTGTCTGTGTGTGTGTGTGTGTGTCTGTCTGTGTGTGTGTGTGTGTGTCTGTGTGTGTGTGTGTGTGTGTCTGTGTGTGTGTGTGTGTGTGTGTGTCTGTGTGTGTGTGTGTGTGTCTGTGTGTGTGTGTGTGTCTGTGTGTGTGTGTGTGTGTGTGTCTGTGTGTGTGTGTGTGTGTCTGTGTGTGTGTGTCTGTGTGTGTGTGTGTGTGTGTCTGTGTGTGTGTGTGTGTGTGTGTGTGTGTGTGTGTGTGTGTGTGTGTGTGTGTGTGTGTGTGTGTGTGTGTGTGTGTGTGTGTGAGGAACATCTGTGGTTCTGGGTTTGAGGTTTGAGGAGGTTTGTGTTTGTTTCGTTCTCACCACATTCGAGGACACAGGTTGGTGGCGTCCACATACTCTCCCCACATACACACTTCTCCACCGATCACCAGCTTCTTCTGCTCCTCTGAACCTGCCCGAGGTCAAAGACAAACACCTTCAAACACTTTCACTTCCAGGTTTAGACAAGTCAGAAGAAACAAAGAAAATATTAGTGGAAGAAAAACATAATTAAAGGTTGTATGGAGGATTTTTTTTGGTTTCAAATTGTCAGTGATAGATTATAGATGCAGTCGCCTTGTAATTATGATGACCAAAAAAAAGAGAATAAAATTCATCAACTCTGGACGTGGTGGGGCTAAACATTTGCCAATAGATAACGACACTGCCTCGTTATCTGTGAGCTGACAGGCTGTCAATCAAACTCCCTACGTTTCTAGTGTAACTGACTTGTCTGCGCCGCCGGTACGTGGTTTACGTACGACACAGACGCTGTTTACTCCACCAACACAACAGTTCTTAGCGGCTTTTTTTGACCTATATCTTCCTCGCAGTTCACACAAAGTTTGTTGTGATGGCGACAAGAATCCAGGAGCAGTTCACCGCAAAAGAAAGTCAGTTTTTGAGGTCGTTGAAAGAAGAAGACAAGGGGAAAAGCAGCGAAGCCAAACTAAGGTGATTCTTGGAGATTCATTCCAGCGATGGCGCGACTGAAGCAGACGAAGGGTCTAAAGACTGAACCACTGGTCCACAAATTACTCCTGGACAGGAAACTTCTGCTTATTATGAAAACCTACTTTATTTCCAAGAGTTAGACAAACGTTTTTCAGGACACGAAAGCGATATCCTATGTCTGAAAACATAATTTTCAAGGCAAAGAAAGAGTCCACCTGCTGCTGCGTGTTGTAGTTAATTCATTCACACTGAATCTCCGCGCAACCTTCTCTACACCCCTTTCCTGCTCCTCTCCCCGCTGCCCGATCCGCTCTTCCCCCTCTTGCCTAATCAACACTGTAGTTAGTTGTTTACAAGTCATGTGCAGTTCACCGGCTGTAAACAAACCTGTTTCTGGCGTAAAGAGGAGGAGGGAGGAGGTGTTTCTACGTAGGAGCTGTAGGGGAGGGGGGTGGTTTCACACATGCGCAACATTTGAAAAAGGACAAACAGTCGCTGGGATTTCTCCTTCCTTGGAAAATCCTCTATACAACCTTCAAGACAAACGGAGGATTAGGGAACCAAAAAAACCCATCATTTTTACTTTAATTATGAATCATTCTCACAATAATCAAACAGTCGATAAAAAATATGAAATAAAAATATGAGAATTCAGTCACTGAAGAATCTGGACTGACCCTCTCATGCAAGAACAAAGTGTGGAATAAAAGCAGCAGCAGAGCAGAGGAGCTTCCAGAGGAGCTTCTAGAGAAGATTTTAGAGGAGTGTTTAGAGAAGCTTCTTGAGGAGCTTCTAGAGGAGCTTTCAGAGGAGCGTTTAAAGGAGCTTTCAGAGGAGCTTCTAGAGGTGATTCTAGAGGAGCATCTAGAGGAGTGTTTAGAGAAGCTTCTAGAGGAGCTTTTAGAGGAGATTTTAGAGGAGCATTTAGAGGAGCTTCTAATAGGAGCTTTTAGAGGAGATTTTTAGAGGAGCTTTTAGAGGAGCTTCTAGAGGAGCATCTTGAGGAGCTTTTAGAGCTGTAGATGTTTGGACACACCGGTGAAGTTGAGAGGCCGGACGCCGTAGTACGTGCGCCAGTCCTGCCCGTAGCTGATGTGGTTGATGTACCAGGGCGCGGCCAGGATCACCCTCATGCCCGCTTTGGTGATGCGCTCCAGCTCGGCCTGGTACGCAGCGGGGACGCCCTTCCAGATGTGAAGCACAGTGTCCTTTGGGATCTGAGCAAAACTCAAAACTGTGAGCGCTCGCATCTCCACACACCTGACTCGTACGCCTCCTGCTTGTTTCCATGGAAATATTAAATGACATGAAATGTGTTTATCTCTGTGGAGAATGTTCTGTAGTATTTAACTTTCCGTTTCCATGGTAACAGGCTGGAAACCTCCAGAAAGTTTCTGAACATTTAAAGAAATTCAAAGGGATGTGTTTGATTGACAGGCTCTTTTACTCCACAGGACGGTTTCATGTGGAAGACGAGAAGACGAGCCATGAGCCTGCAGCGCCATCTACTGGTGAAACGAGTGTGGTGCATCAAGAGGTTCTTTTTTAGATTTTTTATTCTATTATTATTTTTTATTTTATTTTTTTCTCTTTCCTGTGTGCAGTGCTGCTCTGTTCTCTTAATGCTGAACCAGACAGAACGTGTTTAGATCATCCAGAAGACCCTCCAGAGTAAACTGCTCTCTGTCGCCTGTCGCCTGTCGCCTGTCGCCTGTCGCCTGTCGCCTGTCACCTGTCACCTAGGTTCTTTTTACCTGTGAGATTCCTCTGGGAACATCTTGCCCAGTGGTGATTCTGGTTCACACGATGAACAGGTTCAAGAGGCACAAGTACAAACTACATTATTATTATTATTATTATTATGTAATAATATGAGTAATCAAACACGTGTTAGACACTGCACGCCACTCGCTCTGACCCTTGAAGTTGAGGGGCCGGACGTTGTAGAAGGGGGTCCAGTGGTGCGTGGGCCCCGGCAGGTCCAGGTACCAGGGAGCGGCCAGAATCACCCTGAGTCCGGCTCTCGTGGCTCGACGCATTTTACACAAATAACAGGACGATCTCCAGACCTCCACCACCGACAGGAGCCCGCGCTGGAACACAGCAGCTCTTCAGCGCTCGAAACAAGTCTGCAGGACCTCACTGCATTCACCTGCCTGCACCTGCCTGCACCTGCCCCTACACCTGCTCCTGCTCCTACACCTGCTCCTGCTCCTACACTGCTCCTACACCTACATCTGCTGCATCTGCACCTCCTACACTTACACGTGCTCCTGCTCTCGTACACCTGCTCTGTTTGGCACTGAGTGTAACATGAGGAGCCCTAAAGAAACCATTTCAGTCACAGGTCGGTAAAAAGACTTTTTCTTACTTTTTCATGGTAGTCGAACACGTCTTGCCACACGATGGCGGTTCTGTTGAGGGCCGTGGTGATGTTCACGATACTGGAACAGGAGAACAGGACAGAGCAGAGGACGGTCATGAGTTTGGTCTAAAGCTTCACGTTTCCGTTCTCTCTCTTTATTACCTCTCCATGTAAAACGCCTCCAGTTTAGTGAAGTCCGTCCCAAATCCCATTTTCTTCATAAACGCCACAACATCAGGGTTTGACTTCCTGAGAAAATAGAATTATTTTTAACAAATCAATAAACAGTTTGATCTAAGTTTTATAAACCAGTTTCCCAGGTTTAGTTGGGACAATGAAGAATAAAAATGTCCCCTTGACTCTGAAACACTAATGCAACACACTTTTATACTTTTATGCTTTTATGCTTTTATAGATGAATTGTCAACAAAGCTTAGAACAGCTAAAACAGGTTGAGTGGCTGGAAATCTTGTTGTGAATCATTTAATGTTTGCAGATGATTTGGTTATTTTCAGTCCGAGCACCTCTGGTCTCCAGCAGCTACGCAACATGTGTTCAGCTCACGGTGTGGAACATGATCTAAAGTATAAAACAACCAAGAGTCTGGTCAGGATCTGTAGAGAAGATCAGCACATGAGATTTCCTGACTTTTGCCTGTCAAATATCGTGTTGTCTGTTACTACTAAAATTAAATATCTGGGGCAGATCATCACCGCGGACATGACAGATGACGATGATGATGATGATGATGATGTTGATGATGATGTTATGTACAGATGGTGTCGGACGCTCTGTGCTCAGGCAAATCCTCTTATGTGTAAGTTTGGTTCTTGTACAAATGATGTAAAGTTGTTATTGTTTAAATCTTATTGTTCACCGTTGTACAGTTCACCTCTGGACTAAATATAAAAATCCAGTTTGTAAAGTCTGCAGGTGTTTACGGTGACGCTTTACGGAGCTTTTGAGGAGGCCATGACTGACGAGTGCGACGGAAATGTTTGTTACTGCTCGAGTGAAAACTCTGCAAGCTGCACTAAGAATTTTAATGAAGAGTTTTATCTGCAGACTGAACAAATCAGACAATGAAATAATAATGTCACTCACATATTTGAGATTCAGTGCAATAAGATCAAAGTCCAACATGAGGAGACTCTGGTGCCTTTTAAAAACATAAATGTTTATTGTTTTGTTTTGTCACTGTCCTTGTCTGTTTTTTAAATGGATCATAAGTCCAGAATAAAGATGATGATGATTCTACTTTTATACCTTTATACTTTTATACTGTGTTTTGGATTGCGCTGCTGTTATTTAGTTCCATAAAACTTGTTCAAAATGATGCGTTTGCAGAGGTTTATAGTTTGGTTTTAGTTTGACCCACCAGCAGGTGAAGTCCACCTCGTCTCCTCCCAGGTGGATGAAGGAGTCTGGAAACACCAGAGACACTTCCTTAAATAAAGTGGACATGAACTGGAAGGTGGAGGACAAGGACGGATTGACTGGACCAAACCTCCCGTTAGGAGAAGATCCGCTGTAGCACGGAGTCAGCAGATCCGGCTGCCCTGAACATGGACACAGAGAACAGACGTGAACATTAAAGTCAACATTAAAGTGAACATGAAGTGAACATGAAGTGAACATAAAGTGAACATGAAGTGAACATTAAAGTGAACATGAAGTGAACATGAAGTGAAGTTAACATGAAGTGAACTTTAAAGTGAACATGAAGTGAACATTAAAGTGAACATGAAGTGAACATTAAAGTGAACATGAAGTGAACTTTAAAGTGAACATGAAGTGAACTTTAAAGTGAACATGAAGTGAACATGAAGTGAACAGTGAACATGAAGTGAACATGAAGTGAACATTAAAGTGAACATGAAGTGAACATTAAAGTGAACATGAAGTGAACATGAAGTGAACATGAAGTGAACATGAAGTGAACTTTAAAGTGAACATTAAAGTCAACATGAAGTGAACATTAAAGTGAACATGAAGTGAACTTTAAAGTGAACATGAAGTGAACATTGAAGTGAACATAAAGTGAACATTGAAGTGAACATGAAGTGAACATTAAAGTGAACATTGAAAGTGAACATGAAGTGAACATGAAGTGAACATTAAAGTGTAAAGTGAACAAAGTGAACATGAAGTGAACATTAAAGTGAACATGAAGTGAACATGAAGTGAACATGAAGTGAACATTAAAGTGAACATGAAGTGAACATTAAAGTGAACATGAAGTGAACATGAAGTGAACTTTAAAGTGAACTTTAAAGTGAACATTAAAGTCAACATGAAGTGAACATTAAAGTGAACATGAAGTGAACTTTAAAGTGAACATGAAGTGAACATTAAAGTCAACATTAAAGTGAACATGAAGTGAACATGAAGTGAACATTAAAGTGAACATTAGGTGAGTGTAACAGTGGTTTCATGGTATTTGATTCCACTTGTCATTACTTTTATTGGACTAATGCATTTTGGTTGAGTAGCGCCCTCTTGTGATGACCGGTAGTGATAAATTCCCCTGACGCCGAGAGCCTGGTGCCAGTTTACGAGAGATGGACACGAGGTGGGTTACTGATTTTAGCTCTGTTGGTATAAATTGTGTATTTCTGTTTAATTATTGATTATTATATGATCAGAACCGAGTTGTACCGTATTTTCTGGGCGATAGGGCGCGCTCTTAAGCCTCCAACCCCATCAAAAAACGACCGCGCCCCACAATCCAGACGCCCCATACACAAATCCACTCGGGTGTCCCAGCACGACTTCAGTAAACTACAAACACACACCACCCACAGAACACACACACACATGGAGCAGACAGTGACCGCACAGCGAAACACACCCACAGACACACTCAGCACTCCACGCCGACGAGGAACGAAACCGAGGAACGAACCGAAAAAGCGACGAGTGCGACGAGCCGCTTCTAGACACGACTGAACAACTGAGTCACTGTGAACACACCGACAATCCGTTGGTCCCAGACACACCCTCCCTACACGCCACAACTGAACAAAGCCCAGAGTCACCGTGAACGAACAAACAAACAAAACCACTCACACATCACACTGTTGGGTTTCATTTAAAGTCCCACACGGTTTATTTGTGAAAAAAGTTTGAAAATAGACCATTTAATGACAGTGCGACTTATAATCCAGAGCGACGTATAGTGCGGAAAATACGGTACGTCTTATTTATGAAACATTTATGAGCTCATATTTTGTACAGTGTTTGAGTTCTTACAGTAATTGACTGTTGCACATGTCGTGACAGTAGAGAACTTTTAGATGCTCATGTGACTTGTTCTCCTTGTCGAGCTGCTCGCCGGGTTGAGCCGACGTTTCCAGACCAGTACAGATTTTGTTTGATGCGGATTAAAACCACAAAAGACAGAATCGTGTCCTGGCCATTTGTTCACAACACAACGCAGATAAACTATACGACGAATGAAACACGAACACAGACGGGTCACTCCTGCAGCCAGACTGGAGATTTACACGGCCAAAGGAAAGCGGATACATGAACATACAGTGAACATGAAGTAAACATGAAGTAAACATGAAGTAAACATGAAGTAAACATGAAGTAAACATGAAGTGAACATGAAGTAAACATGAAAACATGAAGAACATGAAGTAAACATGAAGTAAACATGAAGTAAACATGAAGTGAACATGAAGTGAACATGAAGTGAACATGAAGTAAACATGAAGTGAACATGAAGTGAACATGAAGTGAACATGAAGTAAACATGAAGTAAACATGAAGTAAACATGAAGTAAACATGAAGTGAAACATGAAGTGAACATGAAGTGAACATGAAGTAAACATGAAGTGAACATGAAGTGAACATGAAGTAAACATGAAGTAAACATGAATGAATGAACATGAAGTAAACATGAAGTAAACATGAACATGAAGTAAACATGAAGTAAACATGAAGTGAACATGAAGTGAACATGAAGTGAACATGAAGTGAACATGAAGTAAACATGAAGTAAACATGAAGAACAAGTGAACAGTGAAAGTGAACATGAAGAACATGAAGTGAACATGAAGTAAACATGAAGAACATGAAAAACATGAAGTAAACATGAAGTGAACATGAAAAACAGTGAACATGAAGTGTGAACATGAAGTAAACATGAAGTAAATGGGGGGGCTTTTTTTTTGTTTTTTGTGGTGTTGTCTTTGTTTTATGCTGAATATTGTAATTGTTAAATGTTGATTGTTGTTTTATTTTCTAAATGTTATATTCTGTTGTCCTTAATAAAAAATAAAATAAAATAAACAAAACATTAAGTGAACATGAAGTAAACATAAAGTGAATGTTAAGTAAAGATTGGAGCTTCTGCAGAGCTGTGTTCACCTGGACTCACCTTTGCCCCAGGAGCTGGTGTGCCCAGGAGAATCAAACTCCGGCAGAACTCTGATGCCACGCAGACGGGCATGAGCGATGACCTTCCTCACATCTGTCTGCGTGTAGATGTGGGTGAAGGGATGGTACGCCCCCTGCAGGACAAACACCACACTGCAGCACACGCTCAGAGCATCATGAACACGCAGCACGGGTCAGTACCTTACTGGACAGGTCCGGAAACGTTCTACTTTGGTACGGAAAAGACGGATCGTCCACGATGTGCCAGTGAAACACGTTGAACTTACTGTAGGCCATTCCATCCTGACAGAGAAGAGCCAGACTTTAGTAACACGAAAACCTCAAAGAAGAAAATAATGCAAAGAATAAACGGAGCGTACCAGAGTTTGTAATATGGCATGTAAAGGCAAATAGTGACGTGAGGTGTCCAACAAAATCCCACGGAATGGAAATCGAGGGAAGTCCTCAATGACCGTTTTGTTGATGTAATACTGTCGACGAAAGGAGAGAGCGTCTGTTAAAGCATCATACTCACTACAGCACAAGTCTCCAACCTTTTTAATCCAGTGAGCTACTTTTACAAAACAAAAATGCCACAGAGCTTCTAGTTTTAGCGGTGACGAGAAACTGAGTAAATATAAGAGCCACAACGAGCTTTAGATGAGGTACAGTTCAAAGTCTATAAAACATGAACCATAATTGATTTATTAGTGCACAAAGTTAAGCATCAAAATGATACATGTACAATAGTAATAGGTATTTAATCAGTCACATTGTTCTTATTCAGCTGAAGACGTATACTGTATTTTCTACACTATAGGGCTCACTTAAAAGCTTTTAATTTTATCCAAAAACGAGTGTGCGCCTTATAATCCAGAGCGTCTTATATATGAATTTCTTGGGGTGTCTTAGTACGACTTTAGTAAAGTACAAAGCCGCTCCACTTGCAGCGTTCTGGCTCCCGTCGTCAGGAGCATCAGGAGTAAAACAGACTGTGATTCATTTTAATATCAAAATGCACCTGTCAAGAGACTCGCTCACAACGCCCACTTTAAACTCAAGACTGTTGTAAAGTGAAAGTGCGTTTAGCTGCGTGGGAGCAGTGGATGAGAGAAGAACAACACACATTCACCGAGACAGAGAGACAGCGCCGAGAGCGACATACGCCACGATCTGCCGACGGATCGTGGACGCCCGGGCTAAGGATCAGTATCAACTGTGGTCCGAGCTTTCACCAAGACCAGAATCATCACTGAACTGAACTCCAGGGAACAGTAACCACACTGACTCGGATCATCACCAGAGAAAAGTGGACGTGTGGACGACAGAATCAACCAACTGTTTGACTCGGACACTGAAGATGAAGAATTTCAGGGATTTGTGGACGAGGAATAAACTGAAAAAGTGAGTGTAATGTGTTATTTTTAGTTATAACTGAACAATTATGAGTTATTGTGAATATTCTAACAATTTAGCATCTCAGACAGATTTTTTTTTTTTTACATGTTACAATTGAACAAAGTTGAGAGTTATTGTGAACGTGTTAAATAAAGTTTGACTGACTTATCGAACTGTTGTGTTTCGTTTAATGCGCGTTATAGTCCGGTGTGGTTTATTTGTGAAAAAAGTTTGAAAATAGACCATTCAGTGACAGAGCGTCTTATAATCCAGAGCCTTATAGTGTGGGAAATACGGTAATTGAGAAATCTTTTGGCGAGCTGCAGGTCGGAGACGTCTGCACTACAGAGATATGCAGCGATTATAGGTGTAACGATATTCAAGTCTCACGATACGATATCGTCACGGTCTGAACTTCACGGGACGATATTTATTGCGATATTGTGGGAAAGTTCACGATACGGCTCATGATTAGGGATGTAACAATATCCAAATCTCTTATGGTATTTTCACAATATACATCTCATGGTAACGATATTTATTGTGATTTTTCCTCTTGACAAGACTTAATCCAAAGAACTAAGACTTTAAAGTGTTAGAAATGTTATTTCTTCTTGTCGTCTGCACTGAAATGGAGCAAAGGATCATGGTCTATGTAGTTCTGCGTCATAACTCTTCATTTAAACAAAGAGACTTGTGATTCGATTTATTGTGATGGTCCAAGATATTATTGTGAGAACTTTGACGATACGATATCACCATTTATATCGTAAATATAAATGGATAACTGAAATATTTATTATTTCAGTAATTGTTACATCCTTAGTGGCATAAAAGAGTTTCAGTCTTATTTTTTATCACCACTGACACACAGCAGGAGAATCCCAGGAAACACATTTGTAAATACAGGATCCTTAAAAAGACCTGAGCTGCAGCAAATAAACATAAATAAATATTAGTCCTGAAGTGACTTTTATCGTTCCAAACTGGTCTGAGCTCGTGTTTGTGTGTTAGTACAGTTTAGGAAAAGAGTCTAAACTTTTACATACACATGTTTTTGTCAGTACATGTGTGATCTGAGTTTGTGTGGTGTGACGTGTGACGTGTGACGTGTGACACAATAACGAGTGAATCGATCCTCACGGTGCCAGAGTGATCCTGATAGACGAGCTGACTGAAGGATTCCAGACCTCTTAAAGCTCCCCACACTGACTCTGCATTCAGAGCTCCGCCTCCCACCGTCACACTCAGATTATCTGAAACATCCAAATATAAAACTGTTTGGTTACATCTGTGTTAGAGGCACTAGGTCTTGTTTAAAAGCACTAGATCTGTTTAAAGGTACTCTATCTGTGTTTATATCTGTGTTTAAAGGCACAATATCCATGTTTAAAACACTCGATCTGTGTTTAAAGGCACTATATCCATGTTTAACGGCAATAGATCTGTGTTTAAAGACACTATATCCATGTTTAAAGACACTATATCCATGTTTAAAGGCACTAGATCTGTGTTTAAAGACACTATATCCATGTTTAAAGACACTATATCCATGTTTAAAGGCACTAGATCTGTGTTTAAAGACACTATATCCATGTTTAAAGACACTATATCCATGTTTAAAGGCACTAGATCTGTGTTTAAAGACACTATATCCATGTTTAAAGACACTATATCCATGTTTAAAGACACTATATCCATGTTTAAAGGCAATAGATCTGTGTTTAAAGGCACTATAATTGTGTTTAAAGGCACGACATATGTGTTTAAAGACACTATATCTGTGTTTATATCTGTGTTTAAATGCACTAGATCATTGTTTAAAGGCACGATATATGTGTTTAAAGACAGTACATCTGTGTTTAAAGCACTATATCCATGTTTAAAGACACTATATCTGTGTTTAAAGGCACTATATCATGTTTAAAGGCATTATATCCATGTTTAAAGGCATTATATGTGTGTTTAAAGACACTTTATCTGTTTAAAGGCATTATATTTGGCAAAACTGACTCTTGTGAGCTTTAATCCATGTTCTAATGTTGTTCCCTGGTCACACACAGAGCTGGAGTTGTGTTTGTTTCATTCACATGTTTGAGTAAATCTTTATTATTCATCTGTCTACATCTCTAAAGCTCCAAACGCTCTGTTCCACCTCGTGATGTCATGAAGTGGTAGTTTGCAAGTTCTCAGCTCCTTTTCCCTTTAGTTCTGTCGAGATCGGCGACTCCAGGACTGAAATGATCCAGATGATTCTAGTGAAGGTGTGTGGGGTTTAAAAACAGAGTGGAGCTCTCACTGTATCGCCACATGATGACATCACAAGGTGGAACAGAGTGTTTTCAGTTTGAGAGAAGAACTTGTGTTAAATGTGCAGGTTTGTGTGTTAAACAAAACAAAACACAAACAAAACACAACTCCAGCTCTGTGTGCGATGAAGAAACATGATGACGGTGTAATAATATTTTCTTTAAGATCTGTTTCGTGAACGATTAAATCTGAACCTCACAGCGTTCTGAAGAGTCTTGAGTGGGGTAACCGTCGCACTCGTCCTGATCCACGCTGACCACCAACGTGAAGGACGAGTCTGGGGCCGGACGCAGAGACGGACGTTCTGTGGGAGGAATCAGAACTCAATATTTTATCAAAGTAAAAATATCTTTGCATTGTGTTTGTGCTTTTGTCTCAGAGTTTCACCGATCCTCAGGGAAAAGACGTGGACGCAGCAGCTCACACATCACAAAAACAAAGACAAAACAAATAAACGGTGATAATAAATTCAAACTAAGAAGCAACAACAAACTTTATTCACGTCACAAACCAGAAAGACGGTTGGAAAAACGTGATGACACCTCCTCTGTTTGCGGTAGAAACTGACAATTTTTCCTCTTCCTTACGTCATTGTATTCTTTCTTTTTTCCTTTTATAAATTGCCTCTTCATTTGTGTTTTATCATTTGTCCAATATAAACAAAGATGTGTTCCAGGTCGACTACAAGAATCCCACTGAGCATTCACACCAAAACGCAAAAGTAAAAGAGTACATGTAGTAAAGTTCTGTACTTATGTGATATTTTATGTATCTGTACTTTTCTTTTACTTCAGTACATTTAAGAGCAGGTGTGTGTACTTTCTACTGCATGTGTGTACTTTCTACTGCGTGTGTGTGTACTTTCTACTGCGTGTGTGTGTACTTTCTACTGCGTGTGTGTGTACTTTCTACTGCGTGTGTGTGTACTTTCTACTGCGTGTGTGTGTACTTTCTACTGCGTGTGTGTGTACTTTCTACTGCGTGTGTGTACTTTCTACTGCACTACATTTTTGAACTGGACTGAAAAGTAAAAGTATTTTTCATCCGATTTCAGAGGTTATTTTTGACCGTGTTTGTGAGAACATTCTGACTAAAGATTTTGAGCGAATAAATGAAACACAAATAAATGCACAAAATTCATGAGAAAATTAAGAAAACGATTTGTACCGACACTAAAATCTGCATTATTTTAAATCAACATCGCTGCATTTAACACATAAATTAACAATAAAATCTGTGTGAAATATTTGTACTTTTTATTCTTTAAGTACATTTTAAATGATACTTTAAAACCCTCTTTGTCTCTGTATCTGTACTTTTACTACAGTAACAAAACTGAGTACTTCATCCACTGCTGTGTACAGTAAATACTCTGAAATAGATTTACTTACTTTTCCAATAAAGATACAGATTATATTTATATATAAAATGTACAGAGCTGTAGAACTGGGCTCATACAAACATCGTGTCATTTCTGTGATTTTGTTCTTGTCTTTTTTAACTCCAAACACTGAGATCTTTATTAAAACTCTTTTTACATTAAACTGACTCTTGTGAGTGTTAAACCTCACAAACACACAGAGTTGTGTTTTGTTTCTTTCCCTTTTATTATTTGTCTGAACAGATTGTTCCACATTCTTCTCCTGAACGGACACTGAGCGTTTTCAGGATGAGACAAGAATGTGGAAGAACTCGTCCTAAACGTGCAGGTTTGTGTCTGAAACATGTGAATGAAACAACACGTATAAACTGAAAAATAGAAAATATAAATGTTGTATTTATATTTTAAATATAAAGGCCTGATACTTTTAGCCTATAACTGGACGCCAGACCTGTTTTAAAGTGAATAATCATATATGTTTAATTATATATTGTGAATTGTTGTTGAGTTTCTTACGTTTGTGGAAATAATCCGGAAAGATGAGGCGGAAGTATCTGACGAACGCCTCGTCCAGCACCGAGCAGCCCGCTCCGGTACCGGTACCGGCCGCAGACTCAGGTCCGTACGTGAAGGAGAAAGCGTCGGGCTGAAGAGAGAAACGCTCCGGGGAAGAAGAGAAACTCTGAGGAAACGGCCAAACTCCGGACACACTTCTGAGGCTCAGGCTGAAGAGACACAAGAGCGGACCGAACCGGTACCGCCGCCCCCGCCGCCGCATCTGGACTTCCATAGCACCGACCAAACGAACCAGACTGTTCTGTGAACAGCTCCAACTGCACCGCGAGCCCCAAACACCTGACGCTGCGAGTGAATCACCTGACGCTGCGAGTGAACGAGTGAATCACGTGCACCACAGTCACGTGACTCGACAGGCGGAAGTACAGACACATGTATTAGATTCGTTATAGATCCATGATTAGACCTGCGCAGGTTTTATGTTCAGATTTAACAGAAACCTGAGGCTCAGGGTCAGGGTCACGTGTAGGACACAGTGACATGAAGTACAGAACATGACCTGACTTATATTTTACTGGACATGTGTTTGTCACTGGTAGAAAACTGTGACTTCACATTATCTGCTAAAACTACTATTTATTTTCAAAATAAGACAGTTAATAGATGCTCCATAATCACGTTCTCTTGAGTTTGTTGTGTATTTCTTTAGATGATGAATGTTGTGGATGTGTTGGACATGATTCTGCCGCTGACAGTTGAGTTCTTCATTGAGCCGATACTTGTTTAATATGAGTCTTTAAAAACAAGTTTCAGCGCCACAGAAAGATTAATGAGCTGAAAATAAAGAGTTTAAAGTGATAATTCTTGTGTAGATGTAGTAGTTTTGTGGCTGTGACGTGGGCCGCGTCAGGACGTGACGCTGCGTCTCTTTGTTGGCTCCGCTCGGAGACGTTTTGTTTTGTTATTTTCGCCGCAGCTGAAAAACTCTTCGCTCTCGGATCGTTCGGATCTTTTCTGTTCCGCTGGTTCCGTTTGTCCCGTTTAAGGCTTTAGTGCTTTCGGACCGGGTCAGAACCTCCCTCGGAATGGACTCAGACGAGGGTTATAACTATGAGTACGACGACGAAGAGGAGGAATGCAGCGAGGACAGCGGCGAAGAGGAGCCCGAAGACGACACCCTGGATCTCGGGGAGGTGGAGCTGGTGGAGCCCGTGGTGGCCGGAGGAGAGCGGGACGAGTGCAGCGAGACCGGCGGCGGAGGACACGGCCCCGGGGACGAGGAGGAGGAGGACTACCGCTTCGAGGTCCTGACAGCCGAGCAGATCCTCCAGCATATGGTGGAGTGTATCCGGGAGGTCAACGAGGTCATCCAGGTACGAGCGGTGGCGTGTCACGGTCAGGAAACACCGCGGTCCGGCCCCGGGAACCCAGCAGGCCTTAGCATTAGCATTAGCCTTAGCATTAGCCTAGCATTAGCCTTAGCCTTAGCATTAGCCTTAGCATTAGCCTCGCTTCAACTCTTCATTTGCTGGAACTTAACACCGACATCAGCCGCGCTCTGAACTGAAATCTGGACTTGTGTAAGCGTCGTGTTAAACTGTGGTGCAGATCTGTCCCACGATCCTCCCGGGAAATGTATTTTTTTCCTCCCGGTCCATCCCGGAAGTGTCCTAATCCTCTGGAAAGTTGGAGCGGCTCCGGCTAACGCGCTAACGCTAACGTGCAGCTAGCGTTAGCCCGGTTGGACCGTTATGCTGCAGAATGAGCCGATTCTAAAAACTCGGGTGAATAAAAACGTGCGTGTTGTCATCCCCGTGGATCTGTGGCCCTGTCAGGAGGAGGAGGAGGGTTCGGGGGGTTCGGGTGGTTCGGGTTCGGCTGCGTGTGGACTCAGTCTGCGGGGTGGACTTTATCTGGATCAGGTCGAGCCTATATTTGGTCACCGAGGCTCGGTCCCGGAGGTTTACACAGAGAAAACACCGAGATTTACTATTACATTTACACTTAGATTTACACTTAGAATTACAGTTATATTTACAGTTACATTTACACTTAGAATACACTTAGATTTACAGTTAGATTACAGTTACATTACACTTAGATTTACAGTTAGAATTACAGCTCGATTTATAGTTATATTTACAGTTAGAATACATTTAGATTTACAGTTAGATTACAGTTACATTTACAGTTATATTACTCTTAGATTACAGCTAGATTTACAGTTAAAATACACTTAGATTTACAATTACATTTACAGTTGGATTACAGTTACATTTACAGTTAGATTAGTTATATTTACAGTTAAATTTACAGTGAGATTGGTTACATTTACAGTTAGATTTACAGTTACATTTACAGTTAGAATACAGTTAGATTTACAGTTAGATTACAGTTGCATTTACAGTTATATTAGATTTACAGTTAGATTAGAATTACAATTACAGTTATATTACTCTTAGATTACAGCTAGATTTACAGTTAAAATACACTTAGATTTACAATTACATTTACAGTTAGAATACAGTTATATTTATAGTTACATTTACAGTTCGAATACACTTAGATTTACAGTTAGATTACAGTTACATTTACAGTTATATTACACTTAGATTTACAGTTAGATTACAGTTATATTTACAGTTATATTACTATTAGATTACAGCTAGATTTACAGTTAAAGTACACTTAGATTTACAGTTACATTTACAGTTAGAATACTGTTATATTTATAGTTACATTTACAGTTAGAATACACTTAGATTTACAGTTAGATTACAGTTACATTTACAGTTAGAGTTACATTTACAGTTATATTACTCTTAGATTACAGCTAGATTTACAGTTAAAATACACTTAGATTCACAGTTACATTTACAGTTAGATTTACAGATAGATTAAAAGTTAGATTAGTTAGATTTAAAGTGAGATTACAGTTACATTTACAGTTAGATTACAGCTAGATTTAAATTAGAATACAGTTACATTACAGCTAGAATCACAGTTAGATTAGTTAGATTTAAAATTAGATTACAGCTAGATTTACAGTTACATTTACAGTTAGATTATCATTACATTTACAGTTAGATTTAAAGTTAAAATACAGTTAGATTACAGTTACATTTACAGTTCGATAACACTCACAGGTTCTGAACTGAACATTGTTAATATGAGTTTTATATTTGGATGCAGTTGCAGCTTCTGCCTCTGAGCTCCTGCGGGCCTGACGTGGAGAGAGTAGAGAGTATATATGTATGAGAGTATAGGATGTACATGAGAGTATAGAGTAGAGTATGTATGAGAAAGTATATGTGATGTGTAAGAGATGTGAGAGTATAGATCAGGGGTCTCCAACCTCTTTTTTCCAGTGAGCTCCTTTACAAAACCAAAATGCCAGAGAGCTTCCAACTTCAGCAGCCACAAAGAACTTGAGTAAATACAAGAGCCACGGCCTTAGACGGGCAAACAGCTCATAAAACATAAACCATTATCCATTTACCAGTGCACAAACTTGGGCATTGAAATTAATAAATACACTTTTACTCATTATCCACAATACACAGAATTCAGAAATGCCCTGGAGAGCTGTTTGGACGAGGGTGGAGCGCTCCTGACGGCACCGAGCTACAGGCTGGACACCCCTGATGTAGAGCGTATATGAGTGTATAGAATGTATATGAGAGTGTATAGAGCGTATATAAGAGAGTATAGAGTGCATATAAGAGTAAAGAGTATATAAGGAAGTATAGAGCATATATGAGAGAGCTTAGAGTGTATATAAGAGAGTATAGAGTTTAAATTGAGCGTGTAGACTATAGAGCGTATAGTGTATAGAGCGTATAAGAGAGTATAGAGTGTATATGAGAGAGTCTAGAGCGTAAATGAGAGCGTATAGAGTGTATATAAGGGAGTATAGTGTGTATATTGGAGAGTATAGATTAGATCTATATATCTGAAGGCTCTGACGTCTTCTTTAAGATATTCAGTGTTGTTTACGTATCGTCTACATTGATACGTGACATATATACATTTGTTCCTGTTGTACACGTGTATTTTGTACTTTACTGAAGTACTGTGGTAGTTCCTGAAGTGACACACCTTCAGATAACGCAACAGTACTTTTAGTTGTACAAATGCTGCAGTCTTTTCTTTCCTCACTGACGATTATGACTGTTGCGTGGAGCGTTTTCATAAACATGTGACCCAGTGACCCAGCTGCAGAACGCTCCCCGACAGGATCCACCGGGTTAGAGTTCACACACACAACAGTCTTGGTAGAGTAAATGATTATACCATAACTCAGCGCATGTGAGTCGACAATGAGAAAGATCTATCGAAAAAAAACAAAACACACAAAACCCAGTACTTCATCCTCAGACCTCATGAAAATCTGATCTTTACGTTTGAGTTTAACAGTTGGGGTCAGGAGTCGGTCAGTCGTGTCATTTGCTCTTTTATGAGTTTGTTTTTATTTCAAAGTCTGTCAAATATCCCAAAGACGGTAGAGCAGCCGATGCAAATGAACATGCAAAAGCTCCTGCGGGTGTTTCCAGGGTTGGACCGGGACAGAACCACAGACAGAACCCTAAACCTAACCCTAACCTTTACGATGAAGAGGCTTTGTTCTGTTTGTACTGTTTGGTCAAACGAAGAGATTCTGTTCTCATGGGAACATTTTAGACCCGTTTGTATAAGTCAAGGTGGTTTCAGGCTGGTCTCCGGTTTCCCTCACCATCCTGAAAGAACGTCACGATAATAAACGCTGAAGTCCGATATATCGCTGAAGTAAATACAGACGATAAACAAGGATATTGAAACTACCTCAAGAGCAGATTTAAACCACTAAAACTGTTCTAAATCTACAATATTTAAAAAAAAAAAAAAACACAAGCTGCACTAAATAAACACTTTGGCACTGAGTTTGTGTCTGTAATGAGTCAGAGAAGTGATTAATTCAACCTTTTACATCCTAAATCTGATCATAAAGACAAAAAATAACCAGACATTTCTCAATACTGCAAAGAAAAAAAGTACACACGTTAAATACTGACGAGGGGTGTATCGATATCCAAGTCTCACGATACGATATCGTCACGGTCTGAACCTCACAGCGATATCGTAGGAAAGCTCACGATTAGGAATGTAACAATATCCAAATCTCTTACAATATTTATGCAATATTTTCACGATATACATCTCATGGTACGATATTTATTGCGATATTTTGTGGAGGTGAAAAAAACTGTTAATATGTGAATTTTTCTTAAAATGCCTTGACAAGACTTAATCTCAAAGAACTAAGATTTAAAAGTGTTAGAACTGTTATTTCTTCTTGTAGTCTGCGCTGAAATGGAGCAAAGGATCATGGTCTATGTAGTTCTGTCTTTTTTTTTTTTTTAGCTGTTGCTGCACTAGAACTTTTAATTTAAGCAAAGCGACTTGTAACTTCGATATATTGTGATGGCCTTGTGATATCACCATATTTCTTGTTACATCCCTAATCGTGTCCCTATGTGTGTGACGTGTCCAGATATTGTCCCCTGTGGATCAATAAAGTTTGTCTCTTAGTCCAACGAAGATTTCACCGTTGTCTTGAAAATGTACTGTCCTGAATCCAATCCTGGTCCTCATGACTTGGACCTGAAGCTCTAGACCCTGGAGGAGCCCGGTCGTCCCTGCCGTGTTGAAGGACGGGTCAAATGCTCCTGTGTGATAGAGGTGAGATCGGGCCTAAAAAATCCGGCCCGCGGGTATTAAAACCCGGCCCGAGCCCGACCAATTAACTTGATTTGCAGGCCCGAGCCCGAAGCAAACCCGAAAGTAATGATTGACATTTTTGGGCTCGGTCTTAAGATCTTACCTCTACTGTGTGACTGACAGATCTCACATTTACAACGACAGTAAAGCTTTTCCCAAACGGACAACACATTTACCTCAGAACAGAACTTATGTACATTTGTGTATTTATTCCTTTACTCATTTGGCACTGATGTGACATGTAAATATAAAAAAGGACACAGTAAATAAAAGCAGGTGCAGGCGGAGACAAAAAACTCAACAGGCTCAGATTAAAGCGTCCACCTTATGAACACGAAGTTAAAGGGACCATATCACACTTTTATATGATCTGTGTTCTAATGTCGTTTCCCGTCACACACAGACCTGGAGACCTGGAACACTTGTTTAAAACGCTCTGTTCCACCTCGTGATGTCATCTTGGGGTGATACAGGAAGTGCTCCGCTGTGTTTTTAAACTCCACACACCTTCACTAGAATCATTTAAATAATTTCCTGGAATCTCACCTCCAGATGAAAGGAGCTTCACTTGAAAACTACCACTTCATGACATCACAAGGTGGAACAGCGCGTTTGGAGCTTTGCAGATGTAGAGAGACTCAGAATAAAGATTTACTCAAACATGTGAATGAAACAAACACAACTCCAGCTCTGTGTGTGACCCGGAACATTAGAACATTAGAACGTGACTTAAAGAGTCACAGGAGTCAGTTCTGTCACATTTAAACCTTTTATAAGCGCACAGACAGATAGAGTGTTTGAGTCACAGCCGTTTGTTTAAATAATTGGAGGTATTTGGAGGTTTTTCCGATACTTTATTCCACTTTTATTTGCTCAGCTCAATAACACAACAGTCGTCCTTTCTGAGCGTTTTATATGACGAATAAATCCAGATGAAATCATGACAAACAAATGAATCGTCCTCAGACCCTCCTCCTCAGGTCTCAGCAAAACCCTGATGCCCGCACGAAGGACACACTCGTCAGACGGATCCTGAGGGAGAGTGACGTCACCCACACAGTTCAGCTCCAGTCAAACGAAGCTCACTGACGCTGGCAGCTGTAGGACGCAATTTAAAGAGGGATTGTTTTAAGGACAGAATGTTGAAATAAAAACCCCAGGATCATGTAGAGCGGGTTTATACGAACATTTTCAGCTATGTCCGTTTATAAAAGCTGTGGATGAATAAACGCTGCTCATGAACACTCTGCTCCACTAACACAGTTTAGTGTTTAATCAAAGGTAAAAAACACAGTGACTGCAGTGATGAGATAATTCTAATGTTTTTCTCTGCTCAGAGTTTGTGTAAAGGTGCAAATATGAATAAAAGGGTGATTTAAGCGGCATATTTTATACTCATATCTGACTTTCTTCCCCATCACTGCCCCCACCCTCTGAACTCTCCCCCTCCACATCAGAAACTCAAAACTCGGCTTGTTACGATAATTACTACATCCACGTACGGCTCAATACAGAAGAATAATCTTTCTACCGTGTGGTTTAAGATGTACAAGGTTGAATTATGAACTTTTATGACTCATTATAAACACAAACTAAGCACTGAAGTGTCGAGTTCTGTTATTTATTTATTGCAGCTCATGATTTTAAAAATATTGTATCACATTTTAAAATTTCATGACAGGCCTATTCAAAAACCCTTTTCTTCTCAGCCCTGAGCCCCACACATGATGGTTCCTCACTACTTCTCCTTGTTTTATATTAAACTATTATATAAAGATCTTAAGATAAAACCAGTGTATTTTTATCATTATTATAAAATAACCCCTTAACCGTCTGATGAATCATTAGTTTTGTTTTGTTTTTCCTCTTCTTCAGAATCCAGCAACAATAACGAGAATCCTGCTCAGTCACTTTAATTGGGACAAAGAAAAACTCATGGAAAGGTCAGTTTATTACTTTTGTTGTTATGATTATTATTAGTATTATTATATTCTCGACAGTGGGTTATCTTAATTTACATCTAACTGTTCCGCTGTGGCGTACGTTCTTTACAGGTATTTCGATGGAAACCTGGACAAACTTTTCTCAGAGTGTCACGTCATAAACCCGAGTAAAAAGCCCCGGATTCGTCCTCCAATCAACACCAGGTCCTCTGCCCAGGACATGCCCTGTCAGATCTGTTATCTCAACTTCCCAAACTCTGTAGGTTTGGACCATTCAAGAAAACGCCTCAGATACCGACAAACCTGTGATGATACTAAAGCTGTGTACTTTTGTGCTCCAGTATTTCACAGGCCTGGAGTGTGGACATAAGTTCTGTATGCAGTGTTGGGAAGATTACCTGACAACCAAAATTATGGAAGAAGGAATGGGGCAGGTGAGACTCGAAGCCTCAAACAACTTGTCATTATTGGTTTTGTTTTTGTTTACTTTGGACTCCAGTGATTCAGCTGAATAATTGCGACTTTTTAAAATATCAGCCATGGAAAAACCCCATAAAATGTTCCATATTTCATCTGTTCAAGGAAAGTTCGGCTTCGTCTGAGCTAAAAACAAACACAAAAATACAGAGTTTAACGTCTGTGCGCTGGGACCCGACCCACAGTTTGAGAACCACCGTTGTAAACTTACTTTAACTTTCCCTTAACACATGTTTGTTCGTTTATAGTGTGAATTACACTAACGCACAACACACAACAATTCTGTATTATATACGTATTCTATACAGAAGCCAGTTACGACTAAGTGAAAAACAAAGTTTATTCAAATCACTGTTAGTCGCAGCCCTGCTTTTAATGTTTTTTGTATTTAATGTTTTTAATGATCATTGTCTCTTGTGTTTCAGACCATTTCATGCCCTGCTCATAGTTGTGATATACTGGTGGACGACAACACAGTAATGTAAGTCCAACTGTACAGTGTAATAATATAATAATAATGATTGTTATTATTAATTATTATTATTATAATTATAATTGTATATACACACACATATAGATGTGGGCTGTAGCTGTTTTTAGAGATGGCTCCATGTGTTGTGGCTGAACTACTACTACTACTTTGACTTTAGTTTGACTTGACTTTAGTCTGTGGGACTGTGACTCTGCTCATGTTTTCAGTGAGAGACTGTGGTGTTTACAAATTACTATGGAAGTAATTTTTTATATATAGTACATATTTTTGTCTTAAATGTGTGTTATGTGGAGCCGTGCTCTTTGGTAACTGAACTGAGTTTATTTTTATTACATAATTTGAATTTGAAATCTGCTTCAGAATATTGTCTATTTATCGCCCATCGGCTGCTCTAGATTCTAAAACATTTCTATCTGCTTCAGCCACAAAAGGTCCAGATTTGTTGAACTTTAGTTTTTTTCCCAGAAAAGAAATATTTGTGTCTTTATATGGCAATCACCTGATGTTTGGACAAAATGAAACTTCTTCCATTTGCACAAAGTAATTTTAAATGATCCCTAAACTGTTTCCCACTGATGCACTGTTTGTGTCTTTGAGTTTATCTGTAATGTGTCCCAGTGAAACAGCTAATCTCAGACTCTAAAGCTGCTGCTAATGGTCTTAGCCCACATAAGGACCCTCTGCCCTGACCTTCAGCATCTGAACACACCTGCGTTTTTTGTTTACATACGCCTCATTACAGTGTTTTTATGTTTACACACGTTTCATAACAGTGTTTTTATGTTTACATACGCCTCATTACAGTGTTTTTATGTTTACACACGTTTCATAAGTGTTTTTATGTTTACACACGTTTCATAACAGTGTTTTTATGTTTACACACGTTTCATAACAGTGTTTTTATGTTTACACACGTTTCATAAGTGTTTTTATGTTTACACACGTTTCATAAGTGTTTTTATGTTTACACACGTTTCATAAGTGTTTTTATGTTTACACACGTTTCATAAGTGTTTTTATGTTTACACACGTTTCATAACAGTGTTTTTATGTTTACACACGTTTCATAACAGTGTTTTTATGTTTACACACGTTTCATAAGTGTTTTTATGTTTACACACGTTTCATAACAGTGTTTTTATGTTTACATGCGTTTCATAAGTGTTTTTATGTTTACATGCGTTTCATAACAGTGTTTTTATGTATACATACGCCTCATAAGTGTTTTTATGTTTACATACGCCTCATAACAATGTTTTTATGTTTACATGCGTTTCATAACAGTGTTTTTATGTTTACATGCGTTTCATAACAGTGTTTTTATGTTTACATACGCCTCATAACAGTGTTTTTATGTTTACATGCGTTTCATAACAGTGTTTTTATGTTTACATGCACCTCATAACAGTGTTTTTATGTTTACATGCACCTCATAACAGTGTTTTTATGTTTACATGCGTTTCATAACAGTGTTTTTATGTTTACATGCGTTTCATAACAGTGTTTTTATGTTTACATGCGTTTCATAACAGTGTTTTTATGTTTACATGCGTTTCATAACAGTGTTTTTATGTTTACATGCGCCTCATAACAGTGTTTTTATGTTTACATGTTTACGTTTTTATGTTTACATGTTTCATAACAGTGTTTTATGTTTACATGCGTTTCATAACAGTGTTTTTATGTTTACATGCGCCTCATAACAGTGTTTTTATGTTTACATGCGCCTCATAACAGTGTTTTTATGTTTACATGCGTTTCATAACAGTGTTTTTATGTTTACATGCGTTTCATAACAGTGTTTTTATGTTTACATGCGTTTCATAACAGTGTTTTTATGTTTACATGCGCCTCATAACAGTGTTTTTATGTTTACATACGCCTCATAACAGTGTTTTTATGTTTACATGCGTTTCATAACAGTGTTTTTATGTTTACATGCGCCTCATAACTGACCTGTATTTTTCTGTTTTCAGGCGCCTCATACCAGATTCTAAAGTGAAGTTGAAATACCAGCATTTAATCACTAATAGTTTTGTAGAGGTAAGTTTTGCGTCTGTCTTCATGTGTTCAGGAGTAGTAGGGGATATAAAGGATTCTTATGATCTTAATGAGGGCGGCACCATTTTGAAGAAAAGATCTCACTGTAAAATTACAGTTAAATTACAGTTTGTATTTAAAATTTGCAGTGAATTATTCCTGAATTGAAAAAATCCCAGAACAATAAATGCAAAATAAATACAACTTTGCATTTCAGAGCAGGTTTTGACTGTTTACCTTTCCCCCTTTATGAGAGATATTACTTCATATTATATGTTGTAATGTTTGAAAAAGACATTCAACAGTCTGTTGTAACAGGACATTCTCTTAACTCAATAATCGCATAATTATAATTATGATGATTTTCATCCATTAAAATGTTGATTTTGAAATATTCTGGAGCTTTACTCTTCTCAGTGTTGGTGTAGCTCCAGAATAAATGAAGACAAAGCCTTTTGTTTGTTTCAGTGCAATCGACTTTTGAAGTGGTGCCCTGCTCCAGACTGTCACCATGTGGTCAAAGTCCAGTACCCCGATGCCAAGCCCGTCCGCTGCAAGTGCGGCCGGCAGTTCTGGTGAGTCCACAGACTTTTACAGGGCTTTTTAATAAATACATCTCAAAATTAAAATGTACAATTTATACTTTTACAGTTTCAATTGTGTAGAGAACTGGCACGATCCTGTTAAGTGTAAGGTAAGAACACGTCTGCTTACTATATATGGTATATATACATACATATGTACATGTTATTTATGTCAATATATGTGACTTTAAATGTTACTATTGGCAATAATTTAAACAAACATCTTTTAGTGGCTGAGAAAATGGATCAAGAAATGTGATGATGACAGTGAAACGTCCAATTGGATCGCTGCAAATACTAAGGTACAAATCTCTCACATTTATATAAATATATGTGTAAATATATATAAATATATGTGTAAGTATATCTAATAATTCTGAACCGTTTTCAGGAGTGTCCAAAATGCCACGTTACCATCGAGAAGGACGGCGGGTGTAATCACATGGTGTGTCGGAACCAGAACTGTAAGGCTGAGTTCTGCTGGGTGTGTCTGGGCCCCTGGGAGCCCCACGGATCCGCCTGGTACAACTGCAACAGATACAACGAAGACGATGCCAAGGCTGCCAGAGACGCTCAGGAGGTACCCGCTTTACCCTTTAGAAAAACACAGACACTCAGGAGGTACCCACTTTACCCTTTAGTTAGAGTTGCTGGTCATTACAGATGGATCAGGCGCCTTTATGGGGCTTTTAACAGAGGAATTTGTGTGTCAGTGTAGTGAGGTGAGGTGTGTATATATGTATATGTATATGTGCGTACGTATGTATGTGTGCGTGAAACAAACAAAAAAAAAGTGCACTGACGAGTCGGGTTTGTTGAGCCTGTCAGGAGCGATGGAGACAGGGCAGGGGAAGAGAAGCAAGGCAGGGTGAGTGGAAAGAGAGGGCGGCAGGGCGGGCATCAGGGCGGGCATCGGGGCACCCCTCTAACAGCCTGTACTGCACATAACACGACATGTACTGCACTAATATGACATGACTTAAACACAGGGCCGTTATCTACAGTGTGATTATTTACATGAGTGTAACTCCAGTTTGTTTGTCCAGTAAACTTTGCAGTAATTTGCAGTAAAGAGCTGCAAATGGATCAAATCTGGACTAAAAGGACCAAAAAAGGACCAGGAACCAGATGGGACTTTAAAAACATGTTATAAACATTGACTGCATATATAAATGGCTAAAGAACTTCCAAATAGGAAGTTCACATGTGGCTCCTTCTGACTCTGGCTCCATTCACTTCCATTTTAATATTGTGGCTCCTCTCTCTGTTCCTGCTGCTGTGGCCTCGTCATTTTGGTCTTAAAATGTTCAGATGAACCTGCGACACGTGATCCTTTTTTTTTTTTTTTTTTTTTTTTTTAATCTCACTATTTTGTCTGTCAAAAAAAAAATCATTCAGAGCCGGGCTGCAGATTTGCTCCTGTAAGTCACATCACGAGCTTCATTTGAGTGGAGCTGAACACTGTGGTGACGTCACACTCACTTAGCCCACTTTTTATACAGTCTATGGACATAAACTGGAGTTTAAAACAAAAACAGGCAGAGTCAGTGTTCAGCTCCACTTCAGAAACTCCCTAAACACTCACACACTCAGCATCAGAGTCACACACTGGATTTAAAATAAACACCACTTTTCTGACGCTCTGACTCTGACGGTCTGTCGCTTGTGTGTTTGCAGCGCTCTCGGGCGGCTCTGCAGAGGTACCTCTTCTACTGTAATCGCTACATGAACCACATGCAGAGCCTTCGCTTCGAGCACAAACTCTACGCTCAGGTGAAGCAGAAGATGGAGGAGATGCAGCAGCACAACATGTCGTGGATCGAGGTGCAGTTCCTGAAGAAGGCCGTGGACGTTCTGTGCCAGTGCCGCTCCACCCTCATGTTCACCTACGTCTTTGCCTTCTACCTCAAGAAGAACAACCAGTCCATCATCTTTGAGGTGACGCTCTGAGCGCTGCTGCGGCTGCTCTTTTAACATTTCTCATTTATTCATCTGTTTATTTCACTTTTATTCACTCTATTTCACTCTCTGTAACTGCTGCTGTCAAGCTCCTCAGTTTAACATGTTTGGATGAAACCGCTTTGCATGATCCTGGGGTTTTATTTCACTATTCAAATGAAATCACATCCTTTGCCTCATATGGATTCGCTCTTATAGCTGCCGGCCTCATGAGCGTCATTTGACTGGACTTTATACAGTTTGTAGTTTTACTGAAGCTCTGTTTGACCACAGGAGCTGTTCGTACGTAAGTCTGATAGTTAATAAACACTTGGAATGAATTAAATAATGATTTAATTCCTCCATTCATCTCGATCAGATGGATCCACATGCAGCTCCAGACTCTGTAATCTGAGATGTTCCCTCACCCTGATCTGAGATGTTCCCTCACCCTGATCTGAGATGTTCCCTCACCCTGATCTGAGATGTTCCCTCACCCTGATCTGAGATGTTCCTTCTGTTCCTCAGAATAACCAGGCCGACCTGGAGAACGCCACTGAGGTTCTGTCCGGGTATTTAGAGCGAGACATCTCCCAGGACTCTCTGCAGGACATCAAGCAGAAGGTGCAGGATAAGTACAGGTGAGTGTGGACAGGTGTGGACCTGTCACTGTGTAAGGACAGGTGAGTGTGGACAGGTGTGGACCCGACGTCTCACGAAAGTAAAAACAGACGATACACGATAAATCTGACACAAAACCCAGAGCAGATTTAAACCTCTAAACTGTTCAAAATCTATAGGCGAGTTTCATTGTTGACAAAAGCGCGCGTTGCTGCTGGGAATTATTTTGGTCGGCAGCAAGAAACACTAATTGAACATGACGGACGGCGCGAGAAAGCACGTAAAGGGTATTGATCCCGGTTATTTATCCACTCTAACGGCAGAGGACCCAAGACCATTTGACCAGAAATTGGTCATAAGCATCGACGGACGACAAATCACCCTTTTCAACCCCGACAGAGTCTGGACCAAACCAAACTTCTGGTCAGAATCACCAACTCCCTGGACAAATATTCACTTGGGCGACATCCACAATGACTTGGTGGAAACTCCTGGGCCATTCACAGCAGAAAAGATGAAAACCTCCAAGAGTCTGGATGTGTTGTTGAACTTGTTGAGTCCACGGTTTGTTAGGATCTTCTACGTTTGCTCTGCGGATGTTTGAAAGTCGTTTAATTCACCGTTAGTGGTTCTTTTCACTCAGAATACGAAAAAGACATTGAAATTTACCATTATCGGGGAGAAATACACGAGGTTACGCACTGTGTTTCATATTTCCCAGCATGCAACGTGGGTTTTTAATAACGTGACGTCAGCTGAAACTCGCCTATAATATTGTTAAAAGTTTCAGTAAATAAATCTGAGGAGGATGAGGCTGTTCAGAGCTGAGTTTGTGTCTGTGACGAGTCGGACGTGATTAAACTTCTACTGTTTAAATCTGATCTTAAAGACAGAAAATAATCACACATTTCTCAGTAGAGCAAAGTAAAATTACATGATAAATACTGACCCCAAAAAATACTTCATATACTGAAGGACAAGTTCATGTAGTAACGAGACGACTCAGAACACAAAGTAAACGAGTCGTATGTTGGCGTGTACATGCACTGTACATTTGTCTTTTACACACAGACTGTTTATATTTTATACACACTGTATTTTCCAAACTGTAAGACTCCGTTCAGTCTGCAGCCTGAAGTGACCCATGGCTGATTTTTTGGCCCCTTTGCTCCTGTGTCTGATCTTTTAATGACTGAACCACACAGATCTGATTTTTTCAAATGTGACCCGTATATATCTGATCTTTAACATGTGACTTCAGTCTGAACGTCCAGGTCACATTCATCCACCTACACGTCGGAGTCTCTGTGGAGGGAAAGTGAGTTTAGCGAGTTCGTTCATATTTGGGGGGATCGCTGCGTTCAGGCCAAATTGGAGGCGTCTTATCAGAACCGGGCGGTTTTTGAAATGATTGACAAACAAATGTGCGAGCGCAGCTACAGGCGTCCTGGCTCCAATGTCAACGAAAAGTAAAGATCCAGAGTCAAATATTAGAAGGACAAAGACTCAAACAAACAAAGTGGCTGTGGACGTGTGACCTGAACATTTTACCAACAACTGGACCAGATTTTGGGAAACAAGCCCAGAGTTTGGGCGACTTTCGTAAACACTGAACGCGCTCACTGCTTTTAGTCTGTGATGAGCTTTTTTTGTTTTCTTCGTTGCGGTTCAAGTCTCCTCCACTTTTCTCCAGTCAAACACAAGTTTCTCACTCGTTCCAAACTTTCTTTCTGCTGCTCGATTAGTTTTCAACTGAATATTTCACGACTTCGCATCAGGACAGAGGCTCTTTGTGCAGGAGACATGCACAGTAGAGCCGAGTGACAGTGGAACAGGAGGAAGAGCAAATACTCACACACAAGACTAGAGCGCCCCCTCGAGGCTGTCAGGGTGAAAATAACAAACATGTGAAATGATAGATTTTAATATAAGTCGCACTGGAGTGTTAAGTCACAGGAAACTCACAAACCATGAAAACAAAAGTGCCACTTATTATAATCCGAAAAATACAACACACTGGACATTAGACTGATACATATAGAATGTGTGTGTATAATATTAAATTATATTATATTATTGTTATTATATTATAATATAATATTCTACATCGATTATAATAGACACTTTTATACAGTGTGTGGTCTGTTGTGCAGACAGTGTAATGTTGTGTGTTGTGTGTAGATATATTGTGTGTTTGTTGTTGTATCAGTGTGTAGACTCAGTCTGACGGAGCGTTGTGTGTACATGTTGTGTATTGTGTGTACACGTTGTGTATTGTGTGTACACGTTGTGTATTGTGTGTACACGTTGTGTATTGTGTGTACACGTTGTGTATTGTGTGTACACGTTGTGTATTGTGTGTACACGTTGTGTATTGTGTGTATATATATATATATATATATAGTGTGTGTGTGGTGTTGTACGGTCCTGACTGCGCGTTGTGTTGCAGATACTGTGAGAGCAGACGGCGAGTGCTGCTCCAGCACGTTCATGAAGGTTATGAGAAGGACCTGTGGGAGTACATCGAGGATTGAGGACACGTCTCTGTGCAACGGACTCTTGAGTATCTGACAAACTAGAGCGCTGACGCAAAGATCCAGGCAGCACAGGCCCTCTCCTCTGACAAAACAACCACTTTTGCATTGTTTTCCTGGATTTGTTTAACAAAATCTTCAAAGTAAATTCTATTTAAATAAAAAGGTAGAATAATAAAAGAAGGTGTACTACAGTATTGTTAGCTGCAGAGTGGGTCATGAGAACCAGGGTCACACCTTCAGTTTGGCTTGTATCGTAACACCCCCTGATCTTTTGTTTTGCTTGTGGATCTTTTTTCTGTTTTTGATTTTGACTTAGTTTTCCCGTTAGTGTGACATGTTTTCAACAGCTTTAATGTCCTGGAAGTGTCTGCAGTGTGTGTGGGGCCTGACGGGTGAGGGGCCTGACAGGGCCTGACAGGTGAGGGGGAGGAAGGGGCAAAGGCATTTCAGGGTGACAAGAAACAACAAAAGAACAAAATAGTGTATTTTTCAATTTGTAAATAGTCCTTGTGCATGGAGTCAAGAGAAAGGACGGCACGCGTCTGCATCATTTAAAATATTTATTGAATCAGATGAACTTGTCCATCTCGGTTTGAGGGCTCCTCGGGGAAAAGTGGAGCTAGTGTGTAACTCGATTCTAACCCTATTCTGACCCAGATACGTGTTCGGAGAACTTTCCCTTTTGCCAAATCTTCAGGAAGTGCTCCGTTGAGTTGGGTCGAAGTTATGAAAATGCATTGTACGATTGGAGAAAAGGACTCCTGCTAACGCTATTCTAATCCTGTGTTTCCCTCTTAGTTGTTTTTAAAGGTGTTTAACATTAAGAGATAAATAACTATTATTTGCAAGAGCCAAACTGAGTGACATTCACTCCTTTTTTATCTTTTTCCCCCATGAGGCTTGAGAATGCCGTCTGAAGCCCAGCTTGCACCTTGAGGTGGTGAATGTAGGAGCGGCGTGTTGTTGTAGAGAGCTCTGTCAGACAGGTCTGCAGTGACATGTGCTTTATGGAGCTACACTAAGGACCGGCCAGGTCCTTCACAAAAGGAAATGGGGCAAACTTCTAAAGGTTCTAGGACTGTTTTATAACGCTGTTATGCTTTTGCATTAAACCTGTATTTTTCAGTAGTGAGGACACTGACATGTCGGTGCCCCTCTGGTTCTTCTCGGTGGTTCCGTTATCGGCGCCGGGCTGTGATTGGCTGAACGGCCTCGGACGCGGGTCCCTCCTGGCGGCGCCGAACGTCCACCATCTTTACCACGTTCTCCCACTTCACTTCTGTGGGGACTTCTCTCCCAAATGCTTCTCATGTGTTCAAACGTATTATTTTATCCTAGCAAATTATAACTGTATTGTTTATTTGAATAAATGTTATAAGAAATATCAACGTGTGTCTTATTCCATTTGTGTTCGCCTTGATTTAAAAAGTTCACTTTGCTCCACTTGTCTAATTATTACACTGATTTTGTGCAAAATCTGAAGAAAAGTCAGTGTTAGGTCAGGATCAGGGTCATAGGGTCAGAGTCGGGGTCATGGGGTCAGGATCAGGGTCATAGGGTCAGAGTCGGGGTCATGGGGTCAGGATCAGGGTCATGGGGTCGGGTTTATCAGGGGTCAGCTGCTCGTTCTGGTCTGGACGCTGCTGAAGTGTCGGTGCTTCTTTTGGACACTAGAGGGCGTGAGAGGATTCAGAACAGGAGGAAGTGTTTGTGAAAAACATTTATTCAAAGTCTCATCGGGTCTGCACAGGTTTATAAAACAGTATAAAATCTTAAATAGCCTTTTTCAGCTGAGGCTGTACAAGTTCACAGTCAAATCCTGAGGCTCCCTTCAGCAGCGTTAGACAAGGACATAAAAACCACCTTCAGTACAACAAGTCACACTTTGAAAAACACACGAAAAAGGACAAAAACAGACAAAAATGAAATGTGTGCAACAATAATTAAACAGTCCACAGGCGCAGTGTGATGGGCGGTGTTTAAGAGTCTTTTTTTTTTGAGTAAATATTAAAACATTAAGTCGAGCTGTTGGCGTTTGTCTTTAAAAAAAACAGACTTGGTTTTCTATAAATAACAGGAATCTGATGTAATTCCCCTTTATTTGGCATCATCAGTTCTTCATAAATGGAGCGGTCAAGTTCAGAAACTCTCCAAGCCCAGAATGAAAGAGTCTTCAAACTAAAACACAAACGCACAACTCCATTTTTTTTTAACGTCTTTGAAATTCAGTATTTTATGTTTTTGGTTTAAGATCGGGACGAGAGCTCGACACGACGCTCAGCTCAACTATTGACACTCTGCAGAGACGTCGCGCTGGGGGTGTTCTACGTGTAAATCTGTTGGTGGAATGTTCAGCCGTTGCCATGGTGATACAACGCTCACATTATTATGAAACGTTTTTAGATTTTTTTGAGTGACTAATGTGAGCTGGACTTGTTTAACAGCTCAGATTGTGTTAAAATAAAACTGATTATTTCTAGTGCTTACAGTTAGCGTCTCACCTCAGGGAATGTGCAGAACATCAGCTGCAAAGTCTCAATAATTTACCATTTAGTAAACGTGATGGTCAGTCTGTAAAATCCCTGCTGGGTGTAAGACTTTTTTTTTAAATTGACAAGTGTAAAAAAAAAAAAAAAAAAAAACGTGATCCACTTGATCAAAACGTTAAACTTTGAATGTTCCACAGTGTGGCATTAAACTGATCTATCTCCACGGAAACCAGAGCCGAGCAGATCTACGGAGAGGCGACGAGTCATGTTTTCAAGGTATTTTTGAAGAAAAGAATTAAGAACCTGAGTCTGAGCTTTAAACCAAGTTCTAATGTTCTAAAGTTCTAAAGTTCCTGGTCACACACAGAGCTTGACTCGTGTTTATTTCATTCACACGTTTGAGTAAATCTTTATTATTAATCTGTTTCTAAAGCTCCAAACGCTCTGTTCCACCTTGTGATGTCATGACAGCTCCTTTTCCCTTCAGTTCAGACGATGCGAAAAAGATTTATTGCCGATCTTTACTCAAAATGTCCCGCTGTAGGTTTGAGAAACTTCTGGTTCATGTTTTTCTGTGTAAATTTGTAAGTGTGTGTGTAAATGTGTGTAAGTGTGTGTCATTTTCTCCAGCAGTTTCATAAATCTGCTCCATCACCAAATCTTCAACCAACAAACTCCACAAAGGACAAACATTCTTCCATCACTGCAAACTTCTTTTTCTTTAAACCAACGTCAGGTTTTTCATCTCGTCTAGAGTCGTTTATCTGAAGAGAACTTGTCCAGGAAAATGATCTCGCTGCATGAACACGACTTTAAACTCATTTTCTGATAGATTTAAGTGTTTAGATTTTACATTTTGGCCAATTTTATTTATCCACAACTATCAAGAGAAGAAAGACGAAAACTTAAAGGAAACGACGAGTCACATTAGTCACGCAACAAACTCAACTTATGAAGAAAACAGAAGGAACTTGTTCTACGATTACAACTAAAAACAGATTTAATGATGTGGAGATTTGCACGGACACAGAGATTTATGACGTTTGTTCACAGATCACACGTCTAACATTTAAACTGCACAAATCTCTTTAATTTGAAATGTAGAACGAGTCTGAGTGAACAAGTTCCTTCTGTTTTCTTCATGAGTTGAGTTTGTTGTGTGACTAATGTGACTCGTTGTTTCTTTTAACTTTTTCTTCTCTTGATAGTTGTGGATAAATAAAATTGGCCAAAATGTAAAATCTAAACACTTAAATCTATCAGAAAATGAGTTTAAATGAGTTTAAAGTGTCGAAATGACGTGTCCAAGCAGCGAGATCATTTTCCTGGACAAGTTCTCTTCAAATAAACGACCTGTAGACGAGAATGAACGAGAAAAACCTGATGCGAGGTTTAAAATCTTGGCCAGATCAGAGAAATGTTCAGTAATGGAAGAATGTTTGTCCTTTGTGGAGTTTGTTGGTTGAAGATTTGGTGATGGAGCAGATTTATGAAGCTGCTGGAGAAACGACACACATTTACACACATTTACACACACATTTACACAGAAAAACATTAACCTGAAGTTCCACAAACCCACATCAGGACACTTCAGACAAGGTTTATTCCAGGACTGAAATTATCCAAGTGATTCTAGTGTTTAGGAGTTTTAAAAACATAGTGGAGCACTTTGAGGTTTACCAAATGACGTCACAAGGTGGAGCAGGTGGAGTATTTTCAGTGTGAGAGGAAAAACTCGTGCTAAACGTGCAGGTTTTGTGTGTCAAACGTGCGAATGAAACGACATCAGAACAGAGCAGAACCATGAACCTTCACGTTTCGGCTCCTGAAGATCCGTCGACGCTTCACGACTCAATCTTCTATTTTGAGCCAACCCTTTTTGTAGTCGATGAGCAGCTCCAGGTAGTACTTCCACTCGGGCTCGCTGTCGTATCTCACCTCGAACACCGTCTTCAGAGGGTTGGCGTGGGCTTTGTGGACTTGGAGCACCTCCCCTCGGTACCACACTTCTGATTTGTCGTCTTCTTCGTACAAATGCTGAATCCTCTTCCCCACCAGTTCGGGGTAGTACATCTTCATCGCCCTCCTGGCCCTCTGAACCGCCGAGCGCAACACCCAGCGTCTCCTGTAGTCGGCGCTGTGGCAGGCCGACAAGTACGGGCAGTATTTGATTGTCAATAAAGAGCGAACTTTCCTCTTGGAGTAGACGTTCAGGGGGCGTAAAGAGTTCGAGAACGTCGTCCGCTTCCACCGGGCGACCTCCGGCACAATCCGCCCCGGGTCACCTCTCTCCTCCTGCGTCGAATCCGTTTCTAAGTGCGACTTCTCCGATTCTAAAACCGGACGGTAGCTCATTCGTTTTCGGTCGGAGGTTCTTCTTAATTTGAGGACGACGCCCAAGTGCTTTTTGGGGTTTTCTTGGAATTGTCTCACCGAAGAACTCTCAAATTCGTGCTGCGGGTTTGGGTTTTCTGCCGTTAAATCCGCTGACAGCTCCTCTGAAGTTAAAGGACACATCCAAGAATCGTCGGCGTCATCGGATCCTTCAGGATTCGGGTCCGGGTCCAGGGCCGGATCTGATTTAGACTCGTTCTGATCTTCTTCATCCGAGGAACAATCGAGAAACAAGCGGCGAGATCTTCTTTTTACACGACTCCTCCTCTTGAACGGAGACTGGGTTTGTAGTTCTTCTGAATCATCGTGAGGTGGCGACAGGGCGACAGGTGACGACAGGCGACAGGTGACGACAGGGGGACAGGTGAACCCAGGCTGCTGCTCGGACCTGCACAAGAATCGTCAGGCTCGACATCGACGGAATCCTCCATTTCTAATCCTGAAACACAGAAACACAAATGAGCGGTGCGTTTCGATTAAACCGCGGCGTTTTTTAGTTGCGCGTTAATTCGAGCAGAAGTCTGAAGCTGGTGGAAAGTTCTGGAAATCCTGAAGCCAAAGAGACAAAGATCAGGGCCAGCGGTGATGAAAGTGGAACAAGTTCGTGTAAAGACGACAGAATCACAAAGGTGCTGAGGGAGAAAGACTGAAAATGTCTCAGTCCTCCTCCACGTCTGTTTAAAAGATGCACTACGTCATTTTCCTTGAGGAGGTTGCGCCCCCTGCTGGTCTCCTTGGAGATGTTGTAGAATTAAACTGATCCATCTCATGTTCATTTAACTACAGGTGCTCACAGACGCCACAGATCTAACCCGACATTTAAGGCCAAATTGTGGGACATTTCTGACAAAGCAATAATATCTCCATGGAGACGACCCTCCGCCAGGAAAGTGACACAGTGCAGCTTTAAACTTCAGTCTAATTCAACTTTTACCCAGAGTTTTCTTAAACGACACAGACACTTTATGTGCCGAGGATTTAAATGATCAGAAGGAAAGACAGAAAAAGAAAAAGAAAAACGGCTGAGATGTTGAAATCGTGTCCGGAGCAGCGCCCCCTGCTGGTCACATGACCCCGGGTCAAACCTTTTCCTTTAATGGGTCCAGTTCAGGAGGAAGCGCCACAATCAACAAGAAAAAGAGCCCAGACACGGCCCACAGTCCCCACAGTCCCCACAGTCCCCACAGTCCCCACAGTCCCCACAGTCCCCAGCCCACGACCCAGACCAGAGCCCAGAGTCCAGAGTCCAGAGTCCAGAGCCAGAGTCCAGAGCCCAGAGTCCAGAGTCCATGATCCAGAGCCCAGAGCCCAGAGGCTCGCTGTCCGTCTGTCACACGAGACACACGAGTCCAACAGAACGTGGAAATGAGGAATTCAGGGTTTGAGTAGCAGCAGATCAGGCTCCATGAGCTCAAAGAATCAGAGACTTTTGTGGAGAGGACAGAAGATGGAGGACAGAGGACAGAGAGGACGGGGGGACAGGGGGGACAGGGGGGACGGGGGGGACGGGGGGACGGAAGGGACAGGGGGAACAGAGGGGACGGGGGGACAGAGGGGACAGGGGGGACGAGGGGACGGGGGGGACAGAGGGGACGGAGGGGACGGGGGGACGGAGGGGACGAGGGGACGGGGGGACGGAGGGGACGAGGGGACGGGGGGGACGGGGACGGGGGGGACAGAGGGGACGGGGGGACGAGGGGACGGAGGGGACAGGGGGGACGGAGGGGACGGGGGGACAGAGGGGACGGGGGACGGGGGGACGGAGGGGACGGGGGGACAGAGGGGACGGAGGGGACAGAGGGGACGGAGGGGACAGAGGGGACGGAGGGGACAGGGGGGACAGGGGGGACGGAGGGGACGAGGGGACGGGGGGACGGGGGGGACAGAGGGGGACGGGGGGACGGGGGACGGAGGGACGGGGGGGACGGAGGGGACGGAGGGGACAGGGGGACAGGGGGGACGGAGGGGACGAGGGGACGGAGGGGACGGGGGGACGGAGGGGACAGGGGGGACGGGGGGGACGGGGGGGACGGAAGGGACAGGGGGACAGAGGGACGGGGGACAGGGGGGACAGGGGGGACGGGGGACGGGGGGGACAGACGGGGACGGGGGGACGGAGGGACGGGGGACGGGGGAGGGACGGGGACGGAGGGGACGGAGGGGGGGGACGGGGACAGGGGACAGGGGACAGGGGGGACAGAGGGGACGGAGGGGACAGGAGGGGACGGAGGGGACGGGGGACGGAGGGGACGGGGGGGACGGAGGGGACGGGGGGGGACGGAGGGGACGGGGGGACAGAGGGACGGAGGGGACAGGGGGGACAGGGGGACGGAGGGGGACGAGGGGACGGGGGACGGAGGGGACGGGGGGACAGAGGGGACGGGGGGGACGGGGGGACGGAGGGGACGGAGGGGACGGGGGGACAGGGGGACGGAGGGGACAGGGGGGACGGGGACAGAGGGGACGAGGGGACGGGGGACGGGGGGACAGGAGGGACGGGGGGGACAGGGGGGGACAGGGGGGACAGGGGACGGGGGACGGGGGGACGGGGGGGACAGGGGGGGACAGGGGGACAGGGGGGACAGGGGGACGGGGGACGGGGGACGGGGACAGGGGGACAGAGGGGACAGGGGACGGGGGACAGGGGGGGGGACAGGACGGGGGACGGAGGGGACAGGGGACGGGGGGACGGGGGGGACAGGGGGACAGAGGGGACGGGGGGGACAGGGGGGACAGGGGGGACGGGGGGGACGGAGGGGACGGGGGACGGGGGGGACGGGGGGACGGGGGAGGGGACAGGGGGACGGGGGACGGAGGGGGACGGAGGGAGGGGACGGAGGGGACGGGGACGGGGGACAGGGGGGACGGAGGGGACGGGGGGGGGGGGACGGACGGGGGGACGGGGGACGGACAGGGGACGGGGACAGGGGGACGGAGGGAGGGACGAGGGACAGGGGGGACAGGGGACGGGGGGACAGAGGGACAGGGGACGGGGGGAAGGGGGGACGGACGGACGGACGGAGGGGACGGGGACGGGGGGACGGGGACGGGGACAGGGGAGGGGACGGGGACAGGGGACGACGGGGGACACGGGGGACAGGGGGGGGGACGGGGACAGGGGACGGGACGGGACAGGGGGGACAGAGGGGACGGGACGGAGGGACGGAGGGACGGAGGGACGGGACAGGGGGACGGGGGGACAGGGACGGGGACAGAGGGGACGAGGACGGGGACGGGGGACAGGAGGGGACGGGGGGGACAGGGGGGACAGGGGGACAGGGGACGGAGGGACGGGGGGACAGGGGACAGGGACGGGGGACAGGGGACGGGGGGACAGGGGACAGAGGGGACGGGGACGGGGGGGGGACACGGAGGGACAGGGACGGAGGGACAGGGGGGGACAGGGGACAGGGGGACAGGGGGACGGGGGACGGGGGGACGGGGGGACAGGGGGACAGAGGACGGGGACAGGGGGACAGGGGGGGACGGGAGGGGACGGAGGACGGGGGGGACGGGGGGACGGAGGGACGAGGGACAGGGACAGGGGACGGAGGGGACGGAGGGGGACGGAGGGGGGACGGAGGGGACGGGGGGACGGAGGGGACAGGGGACGGGGACGGACGGGACGGGGGGACGGGGGACGGGACGGGGAGGGGGACGGGGGACGGGGGGGACGGACGGGGGGACGGGGGGGACGGAGGGACAGGGGACAGGGGACAGGGGACAGGGGGGGACAGGGGGGACGGGGGGACAGAGGGGACAGGGGGGACAGGGGGACAGGGGGACAGGGGGACGGGGTCTGCTGTACCTGGACGCTGCTCTCAACTCCACATGAGCCCGACTCTGGAACAAAATACAGGTTTTACAATAAAAGTTCCTCGTGTCAAAACAAAGAGTCACAGCTTCATTTCAACTCAGTTTTACACAAAAGTAAAAACAGACGATAAATGATGAAATGAAACTCACACAGACCCAAGAATAAAACCACTGAACTGTTGTAAATGTGTAATATTGTTAAACAGATGAGCTGCAGTGAATAAACATGAGGATGAGACGGTGAGTTTGTGCCTGTGATGAGTCAGAACTGATTAAATCTGATCTTAAAAACTAAAATAACTAAAAAATTCCCCAGAAGTGCAGAGGAAAAGCAGGCGATAAAGTCCTGCTCTGATAAGTCGATCTCGTGATCACGGGGGCGAACTCGAACGCCTCGTTTTCCTGTAAAACTAAACTAAACCAGAGACTTTGTTTCACTGTGTTTCTGTTAAAGTGACGATGGAAACAAAGTGAAACAAAGTGAAGTTCAGACGAGTCGAGAGTCGCAGCTTCAGATCCTCCAGATCAGGTTTCACTTTGTTTATCTGAGTGTTTCCAATCAGAACATTTGTTTGAGACGAACCCGAGGCGAAGGCGGGGTCAGGAGGCGGGGGCGGGGTCAGGAGGCGGGGGCGGGGTCACAGGAGGCGGGGGTCAGAGGAGGCGGGGTCAGAGGAGGCGGGGTCAGAGGAGGCGGGGTCAGAGGACGCTTACGGCTTGACAGAAGATAAATGAACAGAGGCGTGGCATTCCCAACAGGAAGTGAGCACGGACACGCTTCAGGCTCCATCGTGCTGCTGTGAGCCTCGACATTTTGGTTTAAAAGTTTAAATTCTGGGGTTTTATTTCACTGTTTTATCTGTAAATATTGAACCTGAAATGAAACTGACTCTGAATTCACTCCTGTAACTGCTGACCTCAGTGAGACTCATTTGGCCAAAGGCGACGTTGCGCGTGTGTGTGTGTGTGTGTGTGTGTGCGCGTGTGTGTGTGTGTGCGTGTGTGTGTGTGTGTGTGTGTGTGTGTGTGTGTGTGTGTGTGTGTATGTGTGTGTGTGTGTGTGTATATGTGTGTGTGTGTGTGTTGTGTGTGTGTGTGTATATGTGTGTGTATGTGTGTGTATGTGTGTGTATATGTGTGTGTGTGTGTGTGTGTGTGTGTGCTGTGTGTGTGTGTGTGTATATGTGTGTGTGTGTGTGTGTGTATGTGTGTGTATGTGTGTGTGTGTGTGTGTATGTGTGTGTGTGTGTGTGTATATGTGTGTGTGTGTGTGTGTGTGTGTGTGTGTGTGTGTGTGTGTGTGTGTGTGTGTGTGTGTGTGTGTGTGTGTGATGTGTGTGTGTGTGTGTGTGTGTGTGTGTGTGTGTGTGTGTGTGTGTGTGTGTGTGTGTGTGTGTGTGTGTGTGTGTGTGTGTGTGTGTGTGTGTGTGTGTGTGTGTGTGTGTGTGTGTGTGTGTGTGTGTGTGTGTGTGTGTGTGTGTGTATGTGTGTGTGTGTGTGTGTGTGTGTGTGTGTATGTGTGTGTGTGTGTGTGTATGTGTGTGTGTGTGTGTGTGTGTGTGTGTGTGTGTGTATGTATGTGTGTGTGTGTGTGTGTGTGTGTGTGTGTGTGTGTGTATATGT